TATATTAATATTACATTCTCATTTTAGGATCTTGATTGAAGACTTGCTCTTCGGCTTTAGTCGGAATCCGGCCTGGGAAAGCTCGACCTCACCAGTCAGGAACAAAGTGATGTCAACGATCCCCGCTGCTGGACCCTCTGCTGCATCAGACAAAAGGTCACAGAACCAGTCGAACTCTTCCTGGCCACGGCAGATCCAATAGAAGTAGATCCTGAGACTCCGTGGGCTCAAGATGCTCAAGAGATATCGAAGCCAAAAAATGAACACACACGCGCACACATGCAAGAAAAAAAAGATGTCATGACTCATGAGACATGTTTCAAGAACAGTTCTGATTAGTTGGACTTGTTCCAACTCCCTTGACCCGATTTTTTGGGGAAAGCCACCAGGAAAAACTTGGACAAAACAATAAGAACCATCACAGGAAACATCACTGCAAACGTCGAAACATGTCGAAACTCAAACCGTTCCAACATGTTACAACGTTTTTGGCACCAAGGATCTTCTTTGGAACTACCACGAGATCCTCTACCAGGCGTTCAAGGCCAGCCCGCGAATCGTCAGTGCCCATGGCGCTCTTCCATGCTGAAGGTCTGGCTGTGTTCATGATGGTCTCTCGCTGCTTGGCCCGCAGCTGTACGGATTTCAGGATTGAAGCGAAGGGAGTGACTCCAATACCAGCGCCCACCACCATCAAAGTATCGAAGCCCCAAACTTTCTGGGCAGGAGCACCGAAAGGGCCTGTGACTTGCAAAACCACGGACTCTGTTGGAAGCATGCCGGGCTGAACATGGCTCACCATGGTCTCTCCAGATTGAGCTGGTTTCAACTGCTTTCCTGAAATGTCTCGGCCCAAGAGTCTTGGACCTTGGTCACCATGGTCATCAGACTTTCCTGAGACCTTGGGAGTGTTGAAGACAACGGGACTGTTGGGGAGTGTGCACTTGTTGTATTCAATCAACAAGGGAGCCCTGGGTGGCTTGCTGTCTGCTGCGTCAATGCCAGCTGCTTGGGCCGGAGCTTCTTGGGTCAAGCGCTTGCGCAGCGCAGAGCACCAGTCCAGGGTGTTGGGTGCACGGATGTGGACGCTGATGCAGTTTTCCTCTGGTGCTGAGGTCAGCGTGAAAGGATGCCACTCACCCTTCCAGCCCAGCAGAATGTACTGACCAGCCTGGTAGGCAAATCCCTGAGGTAGCTCAAAGGTCAGCCCAATCACATCCCTGGGCAGGAGTTTCACACTCTTCAAGTGGAGGTAAAGAGCTTGGTGGTTGGCTAAGAGCAAGCGGTCCACAATCACGAAGATGGCTGGGAAGAAGAACCAGATCCAAAGCCGTGCAGGTGCATGGAGCAAAAGCAACACATAAATCAACTTCCAAGACATGTGAATCCTCCAGAACAAGTTGAAGCCACCAATTCGACGAGTCAGGCAGTTGGTGCGGCGTCGAGAGCAGTTCAGCGCAGTGAGCAGGATGGCCAGCATCATGACGGTCAAGATGATGCCAGTGAGCCCCGCACAGCGCAGCTGAATGTTGAAGATCTGCCAGCGGAGAGGCTGTTGCACCGCATGAAGTTTGACAAAATCTGTGCCAAATGATGTTCGACAAAATTCCAAAGATAAAATGGAGAAAGAATGGAGTAGCCAACATTTTCCGGGGCCCAGTCTGTCCTTAAAGTTCTTAAAGACTCTACATGCGAAATCTGCCCTGCCTGGTGGAAGAACGTCATGCCACTGGCCTTTTCTTCCGATGTCAGCTTCCAAAGATCGAAAGGATCTGACTGAATCGTTGGAGCTGCACGGATGAGGTAGGCATGCACACAATGCCCAGCAATGTGAATGGCTGCTGCAATCATGGTGAACATGGCAATGACAATGTGAAAGTTGATGGGATCATCAATGGGAACCCACTCTCTGGAAGAACCCACCCGTCTCATGGTGGTCTGAAGGCTCTTCAGAGTAGGCAGCACCAACAACGCAAAGTTCAGGTCCATAGCATAGCCGCCGCCCTTGGCACAAGGGTAGGCCCAAGACTTTTTGAAGCCGCCTGACATGTTGGATAAGAAGCCAATCGCGAAGACCACCACGTTCATCAGGAACAAAATGAAAGTGGTGAGCTGCTGTTCTCCCAGTCCACACTTGCGGAAGCATCGTGTGATGGATTGAAACCATGAAAGTGATTCCTCAGGCAAAGCCACTTCTGCTGCTTTGTCAGTGCCACCCTCTTCATCTCCACAATGAGCGTTGGCTTTCTTGGCCCACTCCCTCCTTCGCTGTGCCACAAGCTGTCTCCTTTCCTCCACAAGTCGATCCATGGTGGCTTTTGACAGGATCCATACCAAGAGTCGAGGTCGATAACGTCTGGAAAACAGCCAGCTCCCAGGCTTCCTGTAGGCATGGATTGCAGCAATGATGTAGATGATCAAGATCAAACCCAGGAAAGCTCCAACGCCAAGTGCAACGTTCTCGGCGTACTCAAAGGCAAAGCCAGTGACTTTAATGCTACCCTTGTGAGATCGGTTGGTGAAATCATTGTTTCTGGTGCTGGCAAAGTGGTGCTCACCCACCACCTTCATCTCGACCAAACCACCATCAAAGTAGGCTGACGCACCATTCAGTTGCTTGCAATTGGTCTCAGAGTTTTGGTCGTTGGTCTCTGGATCACAGGTCACAATCTTGTCTTGGTCCAGATAGGCAAATCGATCCACCAAGGCCTTCCCCTCGGGATCATTGGGGTTTGCCTGGGCATCAAAGAGAAGCGTCTGCTTCTCCAAGGGCAACGGAATCGTCTCAGCCCGTGACTGGACCTGAACCAAGTTGGATCGGTCTGTGCCAGCACGACCGTTGCCCGCATTGTTGTTATTGTTGGCATCTGATCCTGTCCATTGGAAGTGCAAGAGAGTGCCAACCTCCACAGACAGCTCTGATGGAATGAAGTCGTACTCCACAGAGGGGTACACTTGAACGATGTTTCCACGACGACCGCGGATGTTCAAGTTCACAATCCGTCGGTCCATGGGGACATCTGCCGGCCGCTCCATGACCATGAAGGTATGTGTTCGGTCCTCAAATGTTCGGCCAAACTGGTTGGTGTTCACTTGAAGCTGCAAAAGACGGCTGGTGTCAAGTGCATTTTCTCCCAGGCCCAGCCAGTCTGCCACAGGATCTTGGGCCAAAGGCAAGGGAACACCAGGTCGTCCACTGAAGGTCCTGCGACGACGATTGTTGGGGTTTGGGTCATTGAACTTGGCATCCATGAAGAACGGATCTGCTTTCATGCCTTCAGGGTCTCAAGGGTCTCAAGGGTCTCAAGGGTCTCAAGGGTCTCAAGGGTTTCAACCCGTGCAGGAAGTCAATACAATTCAATTCAGTTAAAACTGATGTACAATGAGTATATTAATGTATATTATATATATAATGTATACACAAGGTATCATAAGGTTACATATGTGTCATACGTGTTTGCTTTCTATGTTCTCTGATCTTTTGTCCAGCACCTGACAACTGAGCACCCTCTTCAACTGGATTCGCCAGAGAGCCGTAGTCGAAGTCCTTGGTAGTGATGTTGTAGCGAATTCGCAACACCACACGACCTGTCAAGAACTCGGGAATCTTCCACATGTAGTAGTGAGGCTGACCATTCCTCACGTTGCCGTTGTGGTTGTCCCGGCTGCTGATTCCTCCAGTGCATTCAGGAAGTGGCTCTTCAAAGGCAGCTTGCTCCTTCCACTCGCCATTGTTTGCAGTACAAGCATCCGGGTTGTTGTACTGTGGGAGAGTGCAATAGCCCTTGGCTTTCACATTCTGAGACTCGGTCCTGTAATATTCGCAACGCTCCTGTGGCTCCTCTGTCAAAACAGCAATGTCATGCCATGGAGTGGGGTGCCAATAAGGGTAGTAGTCGCGCTCCTCAGGGCATTCCAGGCCATGTCGTTGTTGCCCACGACGACGGCCATTGCCGTTCGGGTTCTGACGCGTTGATGTGGCACCGCCGTTCTCTTCGATTTGCTGATCTGCTGTGAAGAGCCCCTTGTTGCGCTCTCGCTCAATGCCTTGGATTCAAGTCACTGAAACATACTGAAACAAGAAGACAGGCCATCTGTCAAATGAATTCAAATGACATAGGCCGACAAAGGCTGTATATTTGCAGCAACACCATGTTCAACACTAACACTGCATCAACACTACGTCAACACGACGTCAACACGACGTCAGAATTTCAAGGCTTGACGGCTTGACCGTTCAAGATCACTTCAAGATGTCAACATATGTCAACAATGATGTCCGATGTCCAAAGACGTCCAAGGTGCAAGTCTGGTAGAAGTCGTATAGCTCATGGTAACCTCGCGACTGCTCAGCAGTTTCTTCCTCCGTGGGTCATCGTTATCCCCACCTGCACTGGTTTGGTCTGTGCCATCCCGGAGGTTGGGATTGTCATTTTCGGTCATGTACTGAAGGACGATTTGACATCGCAGGTTTGGATGTCCCACGCCACAGCCATGTTGATGATGCCACTCAATGTAGAGCTCTGAACCCTGGTAGAACTTCATGGTACCCTTTGTGGCACCTTCGACTGTGACATCATAATTGTTGTTTTCGTCCTTGCAGGCTGGCTTGCAGTCATCTCCGATCTGGTATCCGGACGCTGCGTTGTTCTGAGAGTCAAACAACCTGTTTGCGTTTTGCACGTTGTTGCTTTGTTCACGAAGCTTGTTGTTGGATCCTCGTGGACTGTTCAAGTACATGTCCGCATTGGAAGACCGGATCGCTGCGAGCAGCAAGGTCGTAATTACTCGGAATGCCATGACTGCCATGGTTCGAAATGGTTCGAAATGGTTCGAAATGGTTCAGAAGACAGGTGCTTCCAACTGCTGAGCGTGGGCACTTCAAGCCAAAGATCGCAAATGCTTCAGATGGTGTGACCAGAAAAGATGCAGTGCTAAGAGTTGAATTCACGAAGTAAAGCAGGACAAATGGAACAAAACCCCACAAAACTTGGTCAGGCCTCGTCAATCATCACATCCGCCTGGATTCCGGATCTTAGAAACAACTTCTCCACTCTGAGACCCAAGCTGGAGAACATGCTGACAATTCCTTCAATCCCTCTGTATGAAAAGCAAAATAAACCAAGGCAAGACTAGACATCACTCCTGGCGGGTAGATCATTTAGATCATTTAGTTGAACATATTATCTCACTCAGCACGGCGAGCTTTGTCTCCTCGTCCACCACGAAAATGGTGAAATTGCTGGGGTCGATGGTGCGCCTCTTGGTTAAATCCTGACTCCGGAACATGTGGAACATGTGGAACATGTTTACGTCAGCTGAACCGTAGTGGAGCATCTGTCCCAGCAAAATGCCTTCCCCAACATGAAATGTCCAACAAAAGGGAGACTACATAAGCGGGTAAGTGAGTGCCAAAAGACTGGAACGAAAAACATTGTGTGCATCTTGATGTCCTGCACTTTTCCAGGAGTACCAACGACAATCTGCGATTCCACCTTGCCAGCTTTCGTCTTGCCCACAGTGCAATGTTGCAATGTCGAGTTGTTGGTCATCTTTCATCAAATCAATTTACTTTCGCCCACCCAGAAATGCCATCTTTTTTTCCAGCACTGTTTGGCTGCTGCAATGTACACGGCACAGCGATTCCTGATGAGTATTCGTCGCAGAATCCACTGAAGTTGATTCTCCCAAATATATCGAACCAGTCAGTGCACCTAAGGATTGGTGCGCTTCACTTATTTTTAGAAGATTGAATCTCCAATCCTTAGGAGACCTGCACCATGCAGGCACTCTGCTAAGCTGCCAAGGAGCTGTGCAAGTTTAGCCATCCATTCATGGATGAACCATGCTGCATTAACAATGGGCTGTGCATGCACCAGTGGTCACATAGAAAAAGTCAGCCAACTGGGCTGCACCTGCTGTAACCAGGCACGCAGCTACCAGGTCACGGTTCAGCGATTTCAGAATCACTCTGTTGCCACGATTTCAGAGTCCACAATGGTCCTCCAGCAATTCCAGCAGGATTTGGACCAAACTCGACCCCTGTGTTTGTAGTACCCGAGCAAAAACCTCTGATTTTTACAATGATCGTGGATGATCATGGATGATCATGGATCATCATGGATGATCATGGATGATCAATACAACTGAGCTTGACTCCTCCTCCATGCTGGCCTTTGGAAAGCCAAGGGCTCTAAGGATCCAGAACCACCACTCTGCTGTGCCATGCCATGAGACCATCAGTCACCATCCATGTCTCGACTGAAATCCGAAAATCCAACGGGTCCAACGACAGAGTGAGGACTGCACCGGCACTCCACTTCTTCTCCTGCTCCAAGTGCTCGACCAGCCTCACCAAGTGCTGTCCGTGCTGCCTGAATGTACCCTTAACATCCCTTAACTGAAAACCTGATTCTGATTTAATTTTAAAAAACTCATCATTTAATTCATCATGACAGCACCAAAAATGACTCTATCATGGTGTATCATGGTGTATCCTTTGTCACCAAATGTCACCAGGTGTTGCTTGATGTTGCTTGTTGCTTGTCCACAACTCCCGTCATGCCTCACTCTTCGTCTTGGCAGCCAAGGCCAACAAGTCGATTGGCCCGCCAGGCAATGTGGAGCGGTTGACAGACACAGTTCCGACAGACCCCTGGCAGGTTGGAACAGGATGGAACAGGTACCTCTTTGAAAGGATGGGTCCTTGCCACACTTGATATCACTTGATCATGAATTCGGCCATTCAAACTGGCAATTCCTGAGACCCAATCTGAAGGTCTCACCTTTCGCAGCGGTCGTGGCGGTCGTGGAACATGTAGCCTTGCAGCCAGCTCCTGTACACTGTGCATTCTCAGTGGGCATGAACAATGCCCTCAACAGGGCTGCTGAGGGATTCAAAATGTCAAAATGCAAAAAAGGCTGACACTTTAACACGACAAGGCTTTTTGAAGTGGAGGTGCAGGTGTACAGTCTCGGCACGGAAATGTGAATCTCAAGCTTGTAAAACTCGGAAATGCCAAGGGTTGGTAGGTAGCAGAATTCGTATGCACCCTGCCTGCAGGTCAAATTCAACCTGCGCCTGGCGCTGAGCGGCCTGACGAATCGGAGAGAATGATAGAATGGTTCAGAAAAGGACATGGAATGACATGGACATGGGTGTTGAACTATGCTGAACTATGCTGAACTGAACAAACTCGCAATATCTGCCGTCACATAAGCTGCACTTGAGCCCTTACTTATACTTGCCTCTTCAGGCGACTCACTTGAGCTGGTTTCACTCCCTGGGCGAGGAGACACAGGTGCTTGGGTGTTTGTGCCGCCCATGAGGTCCAATGAGCTCCAGCTTCGGCAAGGACGATGAAACCCTTCACTGCCTTCACTTTCATGATGAGGAGCCTGAACATCTCAATGAAAAGCGAAATCACGGCCCGTGCCGTACTTTTATTCAGAGAGGTCCTAGAGTGTCAAAACTCTTGAGCAAACCACTTCATATTACATACATCTCTCATCTTCTCCATATGTACAAATTTATGGTTCATGAATGGGAAGAGATTTCACTTGGGGTTCACACCAAACGGCTTCAGACTGGCTGCCTCCAACTCTCCATTCCGAGGTGGAGTGTTGTGCCTACAGCATCGACTTCCCAACAATTGATGTTGCGCCATGTGCGAAGGGTTGCTTGATGTAAGTTGACGTAATCTGATGTGCTTGGTCTCTCAATCCACTGCTTTGAAGGTGGAAGGTTCCGTGCCTTGATGCAGAGCCCTTAGCACGATGCAGTGGCGGTTAGCGCCCAGTAAGCTATGATGGTGGATCTTTGGGTTGCACCAGATTTCACCTGTGTTGTTTACTTAAGTCAAATCAACGGGTGATTCACGTCACCCACTAAAAATTCAGCTAAGATTCCCCAGTGTTGTGGCTCACCCTCCTGAAGATTGTCCAGGGTTGCACAAACCAAGAAAAAATCATGCAGCTCTTTGCCGTCCTCGTGTCGCTGACATCTGGAACGCTGAGAAATCACTGCCTGACCATGTCCCAAAGGAAGTCTTCTATGGTGCCCTCCCTCAACCAATGTCCCATGTCGATATCGTCGATATCGTCTCAAAGACAGAAAGCTCTGCAATGCTCTGCAAATCCGCCGAATCGGCCTGGATCTGTCAGAAGGAAGGCCTGCCTGAGCCACATCGCATCAGTTCGCTATACGCAGAGCTTGCAACAAGGTTCGGGGCGACTGCCTCTGTGGCCGCACGGGCTCGTCCCAGACTGCTTGGCCTTGGTGATTAGATCTGTCGCTTGACGTCTGTATTAGTGGAACTAAGGTGCTGGCTGGTAGACACTGCTCACGCTTGCCTGCATCAAAGTAATGCCAAATCAAAGTACTTGATCTATGGGTAGCATTAATAACTCATACCCCATCATACACCAATTAACAATGATTCACACATACATTATCACATATTCATAAACAAATAAAAAGTATTGCTTAGTATTAATAAGTTATAATATGCTATCTCTCAAGATCACCCTCCGCTTGGAATTTGCCGTGGAAGTCGTGGAAGTGTCTTTCTTCCCTCAAACTGACTGGCTGAGGTGCCTTTCGCGTCGTGCTGGGATGCTTCACCTGGCACGTAACGGAGCCATGGAGCAACAGGTTGAGCAACACGCTGAGTTTCATAAGATTTCGAGAGAGTTAAATGTTATAATTATGTGTTATCAGTTCTATAAGTAGTGTACAAGTTATATTATATCCTGCCCAACTCGGAGGATCACCTCAGCTGTAAAAGAAGATGTCCCGGGCCATGAGAAGCTGGGAGCTTTTTGCCTGGAGCAGATTGTAACGAATTGCAACACTTCATCGATTGTCTCGTTTTCAAATGAGTCGACAAACCCACATGTCCGACATTTATGACAAGAAAATATGATAAAAACACAAAACATTTTGTTATTTATATATATATAACAAAGTTGTGGCACAAAAGGATCCAAAAGGCACCTGCCAAATGAGCCACCTGAGCTCTGCGACTGCGCCGTGTGAACGTCTTGCGAGCTTCGCCTGCACAGTGAATGTCCCGACGAGGACACAGATTTTTCCCCCTTGCCAAGTGAGTGAAGGTCTCTAGGTTTTATCAGAATTACTTCCTCTCCTCTCCTCTCCTCGCCTCGCCTCTCCTCTCCTCTCGCCTGCCGGACTTCAACTGCGAGCTCCAGATCTCAGTGCCACTGAGATCTGGCGCTCGCGGTTTAGGTCCGGCAGTGCCCATGCCAGAGAGAATGCCAGATAGAATGTCAGAATATATGCCATAAATACTTCCAGATGGTATGTCAGAAACATTCAGAAACTATGTCAGAATAGTGTGTAAGGCTGGTGATCACTCGAAAGTAATTGCGCACAAAAAAGGTCAAAAAATGTCAACGAGTCAACATTGTAACAGCTAACATATGCTAACATCAATTCACATCAGCAGCCCCACAGCTTTCCACCTTGAATCATAGAGATAGCCATCCTGTCGGAGGAAGAGATCATGATAAAACCATAATTAACTATTAATCATAAAACATCCATGACTTCAACGACTCAAAATGGTGCCTTTGCAGCGAGCGATGGACTGTGGCCCCTCACCAGGTGCAATCCAAAATTTCTTGGGAAAATTGGGAAAGGGGGTGTCAGGATCAGTTTCAGATTCATTTCAGATATCTTCAGATTCTCTCGCCCTTGTCTCACAAAAAGATTCGAGGGGACTCGAATTTGTGGCTGTGGCACCTGGGCAGCCTGGACCCAGCTACCTGGCAATTTTGAAAAACGTGGCAACAGAAACACTGCGTCCATTTACGTCAAAATGGAAGAAGAATCCAAAAGAAAACGATTCAAAAATATTCAAAATCTCTATGAATCTCTATCCAACCTCTTCAAAATTCATGGGCGGTGGGTAAAGTTACATAAGTTGATAAGTTTTCCATAAATGGCATTGGGGTCCCCCATGGCACCTGTGCTCCAGGGCTCAATGGAGGGCTGCTGTGCCTGCTTTGTGCATGCATTCACATGGGTTCTATTTGCCTGTGTGAACAGCAAAAAACGCAAGAGCTACAAGGCATTGGCAATTGCTGAGAAGAAATATGGACGGCCAGAACTGTCCCGAATCACACATGGTTACAGTTTTCGATGGCTTGAAAGCTTTGCAGGAAATGACAAAGTTACTTGACATCTTCCAGCTGAACATCTGCCTCGGATGAAGCGTAGGAACCTGGACAAAATCAAGGTCAACAAGGCCTGGTGCTCTCTAAGCAAATGGGAATGGAAACCTTGTTCCAAGCAGTGCCAGTTGCGGGGCCTCTGTCCGATGGGGCTGGTTCCATCCTGCCTGAAAGTGACCAGCAGAATGGGTCCAAGAACACAGAAACATCACAAGTGCGGCCACATGCTCGGACTTGATGCGCAGCGAAACGAAACAAATCTTCATTTCTGCGAAAGAAAAAGCAAACCAGAATACAAGAATGCAGCGATACTATAAATACTACAATACAGTTTGGAAGAGAGAAGCAACCCACTCATCCATACTGTGTAAAACTAATGGCTTGAAGTCAATGGGTGCCGTCCTCTGTGTGCCTCCTTGTAGCCTGAGAGACAGGATCAATCTTTTGGCACGCAGGGAAACAAAAACAAATCTGCCTTTGATCACCTTGTTCTTTATCACTTGAGCGCAGAAAGTCGAAACTTGCCATGGCAATCATTGCTGTCCCAGAGCATGAGTAAATTAATTGCAGCCCCGCAGCGGTCATGCTGCTGTAGTGTCCCCTTGCGGGACTCGAATGCCTCAATCAAAGTCTACATAAGTCTACAATCCACTACAACTTTACAACAAATCAAATTCACCAGAACTCTAACGCCAGCCTCGAAGCTGATGATTCCTCCAGAGCAAAAGACAAAGCAGTTTGGAATCATTTTTACTGACGCCTTACACAGCGTCATCACACAAACATCAACAAGCAAACGGACGGGCCAACTAATAACTAATACGCAGTGAAGTCATGATGTGAAGAAACAACGGAACCAATGAGCTGACGAAGGAGACCACGTGCTTGCAACCTCTTCACTGGATTCTACGCAAAGTCTTCATCAGAAACATGTTGCATTCGATTCATGCGCTACAGGCGAGGCAGGCGCTACAAGTACCTGCTCTAAAGATCTGCTCAAGCTATGCTGGTTTCTTGCTAGTTAACAGCAACAGCAGCAACACCCTCTAGGAATGGAAATAACTCAAATGGCGCCAAGCAGTCCCAACCTCAACGACCGAAGCTTGGGAGCTGCCTCGTCGCCCCAGTGACCTGAAAAAAGATTAATCAGTAGGAGGATAATTCTCAGCAGATAAGACGTCTGCAAGACTCAGCACTGCACGTTCCTGGCTGATTCACGACCTCACAAAACGTCGGCTTCGCTAAATGGACAACCTGAAGTATGCTGAGTATGCCATTGCAACGCAACCCAGCGTTGCAAAGTAAGTCTTGGCTTCCAACCGCAGCAAGATTCCCCGACCCTCTGGGCAGCCTGGTCCAGCTGAGGCGGGACTTCACTGAAGATCAGGATTCCATAAAATATCCTTGGACTGAACTTGTCAGATTTGTCAGTGAGATGCCCGTTGGCCTCGATTCTCGGCGCCCCTGATATGGTGGAGAAAGAACATCAACTGCTCTCATACGGTTTCAACATGTTTGAAACACATTGAAACATGATGCTTCAGGCCAAGCTGCATCATTGGCCAGAGACGAGGCTGGTGCGTGAGAAGCTTCTGCTTCTGGAAAAGCTCGAAACGCCTGCAGTTGTTCTGTTTGTTTGCAAACAAGGTCATAGCATTGGCAGTTGTCACAAGTGCATTCAAAGCGCAAAAAGGAACATGTTTTTCCAGCACTTCTTCAGACAAACAGGAGATCTATCTGGTCTTGCTAAAGGAGAGGTTGCTGACCTTTTAACAAGTTTGAATGTTTCTGATTGCTTTCAACAATTGCTGTGCCCCTCACCTGGATCTCCCGCACGCCGCTTGGCGGTGCGCTGTTCCGCGGCTGAACGATGCTGTGTTGCTCTCCAAGCCCCTCGTGGCGGTCCTGCCTGACGATGCTCAGCGATTCGAGCGACACGAGGGGCAGTATGGTTTCACATGAAATGGATTGAAATGTATTGAAATGTGTCTTTTCAACAGGACATGGAAGAGAGCTTCGGCATTTCTCAAAAGTTCCTGTCTTGGCAGTAAATCCGAAAGAACAGTTCTGCAATAAGTGCTGGACCACTCATACATGTCTACACACCACCAGCCACTAATACGCGTGCTTCGCCTCTCTGGATTCAATGGTTCGCTCCATCTCTCCAAAGCGACTGCTCGCAGATCTTTTCGAAGTTTGGCTTCTGCAGCTGCACGTTCGGTCGCCAAAGCCTGATAGTTCCGTTCCTCCAAGACAGACGTCCGTCTCAGAGATGTGGCACGTCTTTCAAGGTGTTCATTTGTTTCAATGGGACCTAACATCTCGCTAGGCCTCTCTTGGGAAAGATGATTCAGTGCCATCGCCCCAATTCTTTCCACATGTCTTTCCATCACTGGCTCAGCTTCACTGTGCTGAAAGGCTTCAGAGTGCATCTTGACATCTGACGAAATGCTGTGGTCGTTGGTTCTGTGGCTCCGGTGGATCTCATTCTCTTTGTCCATCGAGAGATAGCCAGCATTGCTGAGCCACCCCTCCAGCGCCTGCTCAAAAGTGCACAAGATGCCCCCTGCGTGAGATGTTTGACGTGTTGGACTTCTTGAGGCGAACTATGATTTTTTTTCGACACAGCTTCATTTCTTGGTTGAACAAGTTCCCTACGACCATACTTTGTTACCTATTTCGTGCTCCAATCATTAGTTTTGCTCAACACATCAAAGCAAGGATTCTGATCTGAAACGGGATACTCATCATTAAATGCCGCTCACGTCAACAAGCCAAAAGTGAGTTCTAGAAATCTTCTGAGTATTTAATTAGAAGCCTGCCACACTGTCTGACGCCCTGGCATCCCCTACCTCCTTTTCTGCCTGCAACCAGGCTAAGCGGCCCAAGGCCGCCTCTGCGAAGTTGTGTGAGGGACTTGGATGGCTCACCTGTCGCTGCTCCCAGTGCAAAAATGTCGCAATCATCCGTGCAATCAGTGTCTGCTGATCCATTGTACGAAGTGTATGTGGAGTTGATCCAATTTAAGAATGGAAGTCGTCCCTACAATTCCAAGGTCTATGCAGTCAGTTTGACAGTTTCACGCTACCTGGCTCGCATTGCTGAGACCCAACGTACTCATCCAGGGTGGCATCATCTCCGAGGCTTGCACCCTGAAGCCGAAAGGGCTGAAGGAAAGGAAAAGGGAGGGTGTACACTGTCTACAAAGCTTGTCATATCATGTCCTTCCACTTCCATCCAATCTAATCTACCTCTATCTAAAGCCATAAAGTTGCAGAGTCCTGGCCTGTCAGAGAGGAGACTGGCACTGGGTGGGCGCTGACGAAGGGGACTTGTGACTGGAGAACGGCCCTTGAAGGACCGCCGCGGCGAAGGCTCCGCACAGAGGCTTTCAGCCAAGGACTGTGTGTCCCTCCAGACGGCAATCCCATCATGGTGTGGCTCACCTTCATAGCGGGGGGATTGTGGTCCGGAAGATGCAGCTGTTGATCGCTTTGTCTCGTTTGAGGGCGATACAGCTATCAATTCTCTCCAAGGGCCCTTGCCATCTCCATGCGACTTTCTCTGATTGGCGTGTGCATGTGAAGGCATCTCTGTCTGTGCACGAGGCCGGGGTTGATGAGTCACCTGGGCTTCAGTTTGCAGCTTGTAGCCGTTGTAGCCAGTGCTCAACCGGTCCCGTCCATTGAGCAAGCGTCCTGCATCTGCACCCTCAAGTGCCCAAGCTTTCCATGTGAGCCCCGGCCGTTCTGCTACCATCTGCGCGTTGTATGTACAAATCCCAAGAGCCTAACCGGATGCGATTCACTACACCAGTTGTCTGTCGGGAAACTTCCATAACCGCATAGCCATGGACGGCTATTAATGGAGAATGCATGTGAATGACACCATGGGATTCGAATGGATGGTGTTTATCTTCGGATACTTTTGGATCCTTTAGCTAAATTCAAACAACGGCACGAACCAAGCGCTTGCTAAACAATGAATCTAATTGTTCCAGAACTGCAAAGTGTATAGTGCAAGCTGACCCAAAGCCAAAGCTGTGGGCAAACGCGGATTGTCGTGATTTCTGCATTCAATGCCCTGCAAAAATGATCTAAAATGCAAGTCTGCAATAGTCTGCAATCTTCCCAACAAACCCACCAATCTCTAGGATTCTCTAGGAACCTTCCGGGGAAATTTCTCATCTCGTGGCACTGCCTAGGCAAATCCAGAGTTCAATGCCTGGATTCAGAGATTGACCTGCCTGCAATGCCTGAGACTTTCAAAATCTTTCAAAGCTCCCTTGCATTGTGTTGCAGATTGAATGCAAGTAGGCTTCGAACCAGCAAGAAGTCCATTCCTCATTTAAAAAAACAAACACGCCCATAGCAAGGGACAGTCAAGTGGGCTTCCTTAATGCTCTGAACACTGTGAACCCAATGCTGGGAACTGTGCCTGTGAACTTGCCAAGCTTGGAGACCTGCATACGAGGACACTATGAAGCGTTGCTTGTAGAGTCGAGATTTCACATGATTTACATGAATTTCTGGACTTTCTCAGATGCATTAAGTATGGTGCCACATCATGGTTCTGCGCTGCCAGCTCTCGCCTGGGTCGAGAGCAGCCGGTGCAATTTGCCAAGGCGCTAAGTCATGCTAAGTCTGCTAAGTCACTGAGGCCAGGACGTTGGACATAAACACATCCCTTGTGGGCACCGCTGTCGTGAGTCAACGGAGATGAGCATCTGGCCGGGAGGCGCCACATGGCGCTGGGCTCGACACAGCTCCATGGATCGGATGGGTTGAAGCAGTTGAAGCGGTTGAAGCTTTGCCAGGATCGCTGCCAAGGCAAAGGCCGCAGTTTTCCCAGAACCATTGCGTGCCTGGCTCCGAAGGTCGCCAGTGATCTTTAGAGTACCATGTAAGACGGCTGCCTGTCCGATAATGTTTCCACCTTTCAGTGCAATCGGCAAGGTCCACTCCTACAAGTTGTCAACATTCTGACAAGCCACAAAACTGTTCAATCTTCTAGGCGAGAATGTAAAGACGAATGATTCAATGATTGTTCTGTCAAGGGCTTGTAGAAGAGAAAACTCACACGTGCTCCTGAATCTTCGAAGGTTTGACGAAGCCCATCTCAAAAATGCCATCCAAGATCTCCTGAAATCCAGCGTGTGATGTCCATCCTCACATCTTAAGTCACCGCACGTAAGCTCTCATAAGCTCTCAAGCAGTGAATGGATGGCAAAACAACACTTCACCATCCAAACGGTGAAGTTTCGTAGTGGTTCAGTCCTTTGGCAAGTTGAACTCGTCCCACGAAGAAACTGACAAGTACTCTGTGGTTGGGTCCTTGTGCAGTCATATCAACTCGCCATCTTTCTATGGTGCACACGGAAAAAAACACAAATGCTGCAGTATGGAAAAGAAACAGTTTCTTATGGTGAATTTGTTTCAAGCCACTTTCGGGCCCATACAGATCCATAGGGCCATGGGTCCTCTTGCTGAATCTCGACTTTGGCTGATTCCTCGCCAACAAGCCTGGGATCGCGCTCGTTCCTGCAAGGGTTTCGTTCAAGAATTGAAGCAAGAGACAAAGCGGCAAAGCGGCAGGTGGTCTGTGCTGCTACTACCCAGTGATTCTGGCTTTCTCAGCTGTAATTCCTAGGTAAATCTGCAGTTCTCACTCTTCCTGGTCCAACAGCCAGAGCTGGTCTGGTCACCTTTGTCCCGAAAAGCGCAGAGCTTCTTAAATTGATTTTACTCACTGATGCCAAAGATTCCTTGCTCACTGCCTAATCTCATTTCAGAACCATCTCAGCGGCAGGCTTGACCGCCAATCATAGCCCTTGGAGCCCTTGTCTTCCGACCACCAACCGTTGCCATTGCCGTTAGAGCTCTTCGTCTTGTCAGACCACCAGCCATTGCCAGAGTTCTGATCAGACCGCTCTTGGTAACCCTTGGATCCATTGGAGTTGCCGGAGTTGCCCTGATAGTTGGACCAGGGGTCGTTGCCTGGCGAAAAGATCGGATAAATTGAAATGATTTGGCATCAGCAGATCAGCAGGCCTTTGCTCCAAGGATCTTCTGGTGCAGACCTGTGTGGCCATTGCCGCCATGAATGGACGTCCAGCTCATGATCTTTCTACTCGTGTCTCAACAAACGTTCACTTATTCACAGCTGCAATTGATATAGTAATAAGTAATACAGTAAGTATACTGTATCCTGTACCGTATACTGTATACACTGTATAGTGTACAATACATGTTTCTAAATGACGTTCAACAAACCCAAGGATTGGTCACATGTATCCCAGCTAGTGGCTGGTTACAGCCAGTTGCAGCTACACTTTGATCTCACGGATAACAGCCACCTTTAGGTGCTGTCCAGCGGTGTGCCTCGGAGCTGATGAGCTCTTGGAGGAATAGACACCCAAATTAGGACCCTGCGCCGATGAGGGAGGACCCACAAGCGTCCAAATCGTCGGAAAATTCAGAAGTTGAAACTCGTTGATGTGTCGCGTTGCCTCTTCGAATCCCGGCGGAAGTCCAAGCGCCTCACTTCAGATTGCAGAGGGTTTGGCCCAAGTCAAGTGACACATGATGTGGCCGAGGAGGCTGCAGAACCACTTGAACCTCACTCAAAAAAGAGTGCCACAAATGAGACAAGGCACAACAAACTCAACTTGTGCGATTTTGCGCGGCCAAACAAACAGGTAAATCAGGCAACAACACCATTGCTAAACAATGCACCTGATGCCAAGAAGGCCTCCAGCTGCAATGATCACTCAAGGGAGCCGGTTTTGCCCGGACTGCTTCGAGACATTTCAGGACACTGATATTGCAATACTGTTGATGCTTCACATGTTTCAAGTGTTTCATATTTCGTCGCGAAACATGAAAAGGTTTCCGCTTGGAGCAAGGGCTCACCTCAAGCTCCTTGAGGTCAACGCTGTCGGATTCCTCTTGACACAATTTGGATCATGGAATCCCAATCTCATTGATCCAACAGTGCCATCCCATGCCATCCCCATATCCATCATATCCCAATCGCAATTCAGTCCTGCTCTGTGGGCATCTTTGAATCGCGACAGCGGTAAGCAATCAAGCGGAATCAAGCGGATTAGTTCAGCTTTTTGTTTTTGTCTTCTTGTGTTTGGTTGTTTCTCTTAGATAGCTTCATGAAGGAATCCCAAGTTCTGCTGCTGGTGGTGGGCACCCATTCTGGCAGCCTGGCTTAAAGAAAGAGATAGCCTTGAGGCTATGTGGTTGTATGTTTGCAGGCTTGGATTTCAGTGGACACTTCCCAAACATGCAAATGCTGTATACATCTGTATACTGTGTACTGGATATTGCTGTATATTTCCGTGCACTGTCTCGCGCCATCTTCTTGAATTTTCATGTTCTACGTGCTTAAGCCTCAAATGCCACAAGTCGCCACCGTCAGCGGTCATTCATTGGCAAGCGGAGACGCAGCAAACGTAGCAACTTCATGCGCGGATGCAGAACAAAAATGCCAAGCGAGAGATCGATTCTACTCAGACTCTCCATCTTAAGTGACCAAAAGTACAAAAAGGGATATTATATACTATATATACATATATTTTATGTATTATATCATATATATATACATACTTCAGGAGGAACAAAGTTTATGCTTCTTGAAAGCTTTACGAAACATCCATCTCGGTCAACTGCGGATCACATTTTCAAGTCCGTTTGTGTGGCAGGTGTGGGGTGGGACGGTCAATTCTCACCCTCTTTTAAACATATAAGATTCTAAAGCTTTTGGAGGATGGAAATGCGACCGGGGCACGACAAAGCTCCACGCTAGGATTCTACGGGGACAGGGTGCGCAGAAGAAGAAACCAAACACGTTCACTGTGGGAAGCTTAACAAGCGCAACTTTTGTCCTGCCAGTGCGTCACGGCACATGTGTAGCAGTGCAGACAAAGAGTAGCAGCGCAGACAAAGAGGATGGAGACAGACATGTTATGTTGAGTAGTGACCAAGCTGAAGCAGGTGCAAAGATCGGCAAATGATCTGGCAATTCCCACTAAATAAGCTTTTTGTACCCTTCAGGAGGAACAAAGTTTATGCTTCTTGAAAGCTTTACGAAACATCCATCTCGGTCAACTGCGGATCACATTTTCAAGTCCGTTTGTGTGGCAGGTGTGGGGTGGGACGGTCAATTCTCACCCTCTTTTAAACATATAAGATTCTAAAGCTTTTGGAGGATGGAAATGCGACCGGGGTACGACAAAGCTCCACGCTAGGATTCTACGGGGAAAGGGTGCGAAGAAGAAGAAGAAGAAGAAACCAAACATGTTCACTGCGGGAAGCTCAACAAGCGCAACTTTTGTCCTGCCAGTGCGTCACGGCACATGTGTAGCAGTGCAGACAAAGAGTAGCAGCGCAGACAAAGAGGATGGAGACAGACATGTTATGTTGAGTAGTGACCAAGCTGAAGCAGGTGCAAAGATCGGCAAATGATCTGGCAATTCCCACTAAATAAGTTTTTTGTACCTGCGTCACGGCACATGTGTAGCAGTGCAGACAAAGAGTAGCAGCGCAGACAAAGAGGATGGAGACAGACATGTTATGTTGAGTAGTGACCAAGCTGAAGCAGGTGCAAAGATCGGCAAATGATTTGGCAGTTCCCACTAAATAAGCTTTTTGTACCCTTCAGGAGGAACAAAGTTTATGCTTCTTGAAAGCTTTACGAAACATCCATCTCGGTCAACTGCGGATCACATTTTCAAGTCCGTTTGTGTGGCAGGTGTGGGACGGTCAATTCTCACCCTCTTTTAAACATATAAGATTCTAAAGCTTTTGGAGGATGGAAATGCGACCGGGGTACGACAAAGCTCCACGCTAGGATTCTACGGGGAAAGGGTGTGAAGAAGAAGAAGAAGAAGAAACCAAACATGTTCACTGTGGGAAGCTCAACAAGCGCAACTTTTGTCCTGCCAGTGTATATATATATATATATTATATATATCATATATATTAAATATCATATATATTATATATTTATATTTTATTATATTTATATTATTCTATATATATATATATATTGTTTTATTTTTTCTTATATTATATTATATTATATTATATATTATATTATATTACATTATATTGTATATATATTATAGTCATTTATAGTCCATCAAACAAAATCACACTTTGATTCTGCGGTTCGGCATTCTCCAAGAGATGTTGCTCTTCAGCGCATACTCACCTTGGGGCTTCGAGGGAACTCAGCCGATCAAGTGGTGGTTCCTGCCACAAGCGCCTGGCATGGTATCTCCAATGAAAGTCTCAAGGCATCTCAAGGCTGAGAAGTTTGGCCAATGTTTAGCAGATCAGTATAGACTAGCTAGTGACTAGCAGCCATTTCATCATTGAACCGCCTAAAAACAACTTGTTTCTGAATCCAAACTTCGCTTCAGTCAAGTTCTTCACGTTCCTACTCGACGGGGTTCGTTTGGCAAATGTGAAAAAATGTAAACAACTTCACTAGCTGTCTGCATTGTCTACGATGCCTACCATGTTGCACCGTGTTGCCACTAGTGTTGCACATGTTGCCTCCAGGACATCCATAGCTGTCATCAGCATCTGCTCCGGTGCTTCATCCTTCTCGCCAAGCAGTTGGCTTTCACGAACCTCACCAGTCGCTGCCACATCGCCAGATCATTCGAGATCTAATCAAGGCATTAAGACAGTAAGACAGGTTTAACGGTTAAAAGATGTTAAAGGGACTTACAGGGTTGTGTTGAAACATGTTCCAGTTGCGGCTTATGTTGATCCAAGCTGCTCGGAGCAACTTTGCACACCAAGCTATCCATTCTCGTCGGACAGTCTCCTCCAAGAAATGCAATCTACAACAGATTGCCAGGAGATTCTATCTCCCAATCTCCGAATCTCCGCAAAGTGTCAGTCTGTAACAGCATACCAATGGTCCTTAGCCCAAGCTTGTCTCTCTTTCAGCACATCTTCCAGTTTTTCTCCAGCTTCCTGGAAAGGCAACACAACAGTCTGGGCAAGAATCCGTGCGCGGATTTTTGAGACCTCCCTCCGCTGCACAAACTTTGCGCAAAGACTCAATTGACATCTCCTTCATCCCCTTCCGGAGTTCTTTGCTTTCCTGGACGGTGGGTCATGGATAGCATCCTCCAAAAATATGACCCGCACATACTTGAAACCTAAACTCCAACGGAGAAAGTGCGGCCAGACAGAACGTTTCGCCCACAAAGCACAAGAAAAACTGTGCTCACACAGCACTCAGCTGATCGAGGACTCCGCCTTCTCCAACGCCTTTTCCAACGCTGAAAGCGCAGCCTGCAACTCAAGAATCATTGAAGATGCACGGCAATGCACGGCAATGCGCGGTGCAAGGCTTTGTACAGCACCCCAGCAGGCACAACCCTGAATGTTTAACCCATGAGCGCATGTTTGAAGAAGCGAAGGATGTTGAAAGAAAAACACATAGCATGAACAAGGGAATGAAAAAGATTTCACAACAAGATGTAAAAAAGGTTGTTGGCATGAGAGTTCAGCATAGGGGGTATCAATCTCAATAAACAAATCAGGAGGCTCTTGCAACTGGCCGCAGATAGAAACACAAGGACAAAACAACGGCAATAGAAAATGATAGAACATCAGACCAAAATACGGGCGCGAGTGGGAAGTCCATTCCAAATTGGATATGCAGCAACCACCATCACCAGCTGAGGTAATAGCTTCCAAAGCCCTTCAACCCTCTTAAAGTAACTGACATGCACCTCCCCTGGTGGTGAGGCAGCCGTGGCATTGATATCAAGTACCTGTCAGGTCGGCATGGCAGATACGAATCACTCAGGTCGACTTGTATGGAATATCATTTGCGCCCTCTCGTTTGGTTGCTTGAGACATCTGTGTCAACTCAAATCACCCTACACCTTTCTGTCAAAAAAAACATGTGCGGAGCTGCAGCTGGTTTAAATTGCTCACAAAAGAATACAGCATCCTCTGTCTACATCTGTCTACCTTATTACTCCGGTCCGGGCATTGAAAGGTATGTCGAACTACGCCTGTCTGCACCGCTGCATGGAAATCAGCAGACTACTTTGGGTGCAGAACAGGTACATTTTGCCGGCATTAGCACAGACATTAGCACCTATGAAGCACCTATGTTGACGCAAGGTTGACACTATGGCACTATCGTCTTCTAGTTGTCTCTGCATTGAGAGCTTCCGACTCTGAACTGTTTCTTGAAGCGGTTCAGGAATCAGTGTCACAGCGGCGCAAGAGGCGCCACTTGACTCACAAGATCTCACAAGGCCTCTCGGCAATGGACATGAATGATCATGAATGTACATGCAGCACATTTGAAGCACGATGCATCCGCCATCTCAAGAAACAATAAGAAACATGGGTGGAAACATAATATATATGATATATGATTTTACATATGTGTATATATATATGTGTGTGTGTGTATCCATAGGTGTATCCACTTCAGCAGAGCCGCTGTTCGAACTCGAGGGCTCTGAATGACAGTGTTCGGCAAACCTTCGGGCTTCTCCCAGTTTGAAGTTTGAGCCATAGTTTCACCAGTTTCACCCCACTTGTTCAAACAAAGGCACCGTGCACACTGTAGAGGTACAAAGCACCGGAAGCGTTTTCAAGCTGTGCTAGGGTTCCTGCTCCCAGTGGTGGTATACACGACCTAAGATAGCATCGGTTGCAAGGTTTTTGTTGGAAAGAATGCCAAATGTGGGGGCAGCTTCACAGCAATCATGTTGAGTAAAAGGATGATGTGTAACGCGCATCATCAAAGTGTCCAAAAGTTGCAGAGTTGGGTGCTTCCCAACTCCCTTAAAGCAACCAAAATTTGTGTTCCACCTATCACACACATCTGATTCAAGTCAAGAACAGTGTACCACTCATATTCTCTTCGTCCACGCTAGAAAATGGCATGTTGATGGATGACCTAAATGACTGAATAATTACTGAAATTTGGTCAGATCTTTGAGGACAGCACTGGAACCGATTGGCGCCTGGAACAAAAGCACGGCAAAATAGACGTAAATGCACATGAGGGGAACTGGAAGGGCTGTTCAAGAAATGCCCAGCCTGTAGTCACCGATCGGGGATCCTGCCTGTCAGTCGGTTCATTCGAACGTGGAAGGGGCAGAGGCGTGCCACGTTCAGGTTGCAATCACTTGAAACAAACTTCAAGTTTCTAAGCAAACAAAAAGACTACCTATGAGTTTTTGTAGAAATTGCCTGGCCTGTGCTGGGAGTTGAGATGAGAAATAGACGTTCGCAGCCGCAGCCGGTACGCTCACCACTCTGAGGGCTTGTTGGGTTCGCGGGGATGGGAATGTCGTCCTGGCAGGTAGTGTTCGTGGAGAGACTGGAGAGAGAGCAGCAGCACTGGGAGGGAAACCACTGACCGGTGGAGTCTGGAAGCCTTGGATTCCATGAATGGAATGGACCTGTGCTCCAGAGACTACAGGGGCTCCACAAGCTCCAGAGGGTGCAAGGGTCTGTGTAACAGCCTTGGGCTGGGCTCTGGAAGAGGCTTCAGATGCAGTGGATGTGACCGATGTGACCTCCACTGCCACAGGTGGATCCTGCACTTCTCTGCGCTCTGGCGCCGCCATGGGCGGCCTGGGTGGCTCATGGGGAGAAGAGAGCTCGACCTGACAGGCGCCAGACCGTGGGCTCGGTTCCACACTACTCTGAGAAAACGTCTCAGAGTTCTTTCTCCCTGGCTGTTCCACATCCTTCACTTCCTTCACTTCCTTCACTTCCTTTGCTTCATTTACTTCCTTTACTTCCTCTACTTCCTTGACTTCCTGTGCTTCCTTTGCATCCGTTGCTTCTTTCACAACTTTCAGAGCATCGAATCGCTTCCAACATTCCTCAAGTTGCTGCTGGCTGTCTTCCCAGCGCTGCCGCCAAACATTACCTGAATGTTCCAGGTCTTGCTTCTGCTGAACCAGCTTTCGCTTCAGTTTTTCAGCCTCTTGAAGCTGCCTCTTTAATTGCGAGTTCTCACCCTCCAATTCCTGGATTTTTTCGCGAGCTCGCTCGCTGTCCAGCTTAGCTGCTATGAAATCCTCCCGTAGAATACCCAACTCCCGGAAGAGTCCACTGATGGACTCTGACTGAAGTGTGTTCCCTGGCATGGGTGAGATAGGTGACATAGGACTGCTGGCAATGTCCCTTGTCTCCGGGGAGGTTGGGACCCTCTGCGGAATTCGACGGGCAGGTTGAGCCAGCACGAACTTTTGCGGCTTCTCAGCTGATCGTGTCCGTTTTGGCTTGGAGATGCCTGGAGCCTGCCCAGGCATTGGTGCAGATTTCGACAAAGTGCCAGATTTGCCTGCTGATTTGGCCCGTGGGGCACCAACCTTCCCATCAGTGCCCTGCGACACTTCGGTGGGCTTTGGCAACCGACAGGCTGGCTCTTTTACCTCTTCTTGACTTGTCCATTTTTCATGTTCATCCTTTTCATTTCCCTCTCCAGCTTCATTTTCTCCCATCTCTCCATGCACAGCATCCATAGTTTCTTCGTTGGTTTGGGGCTCAAGTGGTGACAGCTCTGGTGCCTCTGGGTCTCTGTCGCCATCTGTGGAGTCTCCGGGAGATGCAACAAATCGCGGTGTCTCTCTTGGCGTCTCTCGCGTCTCATGCTCCTGGTGCTCCTGGTCACTCGGTTGCGACGCTGAAAGCTGTGACAGCTGTGAGAACTGTGACATCTGTGGCATGGGAATATTGGCACTGCCAGGCCGTGAAGTTGTTGAACTCTGCAACCGTTGTCGTTGCTTCTGCTCCAACACTGGGACAATGCCTCGACCACGACGTGTCAATCGACTCCGATCGACGGCGTAGGGTGAACTCGCCATAGCCATTAGATCAGCAGATCAAGGAGACTCAATCTGGGTCTTGTTCTGCCACGCATGGGCAAGTCTCAATACAATGATATACAATGATCATTTTCATGCTAGAAACAACTTTCTTTCATCTGCTATTATTCTGGACCGATGCAATTTTCATACTCATGATCCACGATGCCATTGTTTATGTATATAAACTGTTTTGGAAGATATATAGAGGTTTCATGTCAAAGAATGCAAATTGGCCAAATTCACTATACTTGACTTTCAAACACTGTGGAGCCTTTCGATCTGATGGCAGGTGAGCCAGATTGCATGTACAAAAGTGTCAGAGCAAAAGACAGTTTCAGCGCAACTTCGTGTGCCAACCTTCTTGGAATTTTGGACTCAAGTGGGCACCCGCTTGGCTCGGGCGTCCCAGCCACCAGGTGTTCGCAATCCTTCCAGACCTCACTTCCAACAATACCGGGAAACCTTTGAAAACAATGAGTTTATAATACTTATATCCGCCGACCCCGCTTGCAGCAGGGAGAGCGCGTCAGAGGAGAAATTACCAGCAGCAAGGACAGCAAGGGGCAAGAAGGTCTTACAGGCAGCAAGGGGCAAGAAGCAAGAAGAAAGGCGAAGGCGCTGTTTTCGAGTTCTGGCAGCCGTGCGTTTCGAAGCTTGGCGGCGGGCAAAAGAAAAAGACGGCTAGTTTCTTGTCCGTGCAGAAAGCGACGTTAGGCACTACAGGCCGTTGCCCAGAGGCCCGTTCCGTCCTTCGTTGCCATGCTGTTTGAGCTGTTTTTGATCCTTGGCAGCTGTGGGAGGAAAAAGGCAGCTAGTCTCTTGTCGGTGCAGAAAGCGACGTTAGGAGCTACAGGGCCGTTGCCCGGAGCCCCGCTCCGTCCTTCGCTGCCATGCTGTTTGTGTGGCGAAGACGCTTTTTTTTGAGCCTTGGCAGCCGGACGTTTTGAGGCTTGGAGGCGGGCAAAGGCAAAAAGACGGCTAGTTTCTTGTCGGCGCAGAAAGCGACGTTAAGCACTACAGGCCGTTGCCCGGAGGCCCGTTCCGTCATTCATTGCCATGCTGTTTGAGCCGTTTTCGATCCTTGGCAACTGTGGGAGGAAAAAGAAAGCTAGTTTCTTGTGTCGGTGCGGAAAGCGACGTTACGCTACAGGCCGTTGCGCGGAGCCCCGCTCCGTCCTTCGCTGCCATGCTGTTTGAGTGTGGCGAAGGCGCTTTTTTCCCGAATGCGTAGCAAGTGTTCCCGTTTCACTCTGGGGGTCTGGGGGTTGAGGGTGTGTTCGCTCGACGTTGCGTTTCTGTTCGCAACCGTCCGCAACCGTCCGCAACCGTTCGCAGCCGTCCGCAACCGCTCGCGCGATTGCTATATGGCCGTGCCTATGGTAAGTTCTGCAGAGGTTGTCATTTTTGGAGGTTTCCAACGTCTCGTTGCTTCGTTTCGCGTGGCAGGCGTGGCACTTCGTGACATTCAGACGTGTTTCGTAACGTGTCGAAAGTCGTTTCGTGTGGCAGGCGCAATACTTTTGCGACGTTTTCCGAAGATGCGTTACAATTTTCGTGGCAGGCGCAGCACTTTGGACGTGTCCATCGTCATTTTGCGTAGCAGGCGCAGCACTTTAGACGTGTCGTGTTGCGTGTTTTTTGCAAATCGCATTGGCAGGGCTGCGTTAAATGGCGACAAGGTGCAAATTCCGTGGCAGGCGTGGCATTTTGTGACATGTGCTGAAAATTGACGGAAGCCTCGCGCGAAACATCGATTTTGAGGTTACAAAATTTAGAGGTTCTTACGAAAACTCGTAGGAAAACGTCGATTTTGAAGCTACAAAGTGTGAAAATTGGAGGAAGTCTCGCACGAAATGCTCGTTTTAGTGCTCCCACCTGTCTCGTCTCGGGTCACTGGTTTTCTGGTGGCTTCGCCGTATCTATGGGGGAAGCTGCAAAACATGTCCTTTCGGCATGTTTCAAACTGTGAAAATTGGCGGAAGTCTCGCACGAAATGCTGGTTTTGATGTTCCTATGTGTCTTGTCTCGAGTCTCTGGTTTTCCTGTGGCGTCGCCGTGTCTATGGGGGAAGCTGCAAAACCTCTTTTTTTCGAAGGTTTCCATGCAGGTTGTCATGTCGTTTTGCGTGGCAGGCGTACAGTCCAACCTGTTTGATAACGTGTCAAATGTCAAAATTGGAGGAAGTCTCGCATAAAACGCGGGACTTTTTCGGCGGCAGGGGCGGCGGCCCCTCTCTCCTACGGAGAGGAGAGAAACGCCGTTCGGCTATGCCACGGCCAGGGGGCCCCTGGCCGGATTTAAGCGCTTACGCGCGACAGCCGGCCAGGGGCCCAACTATGTTGGCCCATTTTGTGGCTATGTTGGCCTATGTTGGCGTATGTTGGCCTATCTTGCGGGCAATGTGGGCCCATCTTGTGGCTATGTTGGCCTATGTTGGCCTCATGTCATGTTGACCCATGTTGAGCCAAAAGAGCAGAAAAATTGGAACAGCAAAAAAAACACTGTAAACACACAGGATATTTTGATGGTCGGCGGCCTATCTTGGGGCTATGTTGGCCCATCTTGGGGCTATGTTGGCCCATCCTGAGGGCAATGTGGGCCCATCTTGGGGCTATGTTGGCCCATCTTGGGGCTATGTTGGCCCAGCTTGGGGCGATGGTGCCCCATCTTGGGGCTATCCTGGCCCATCTTGGGGGCTATGTTGGCCCATCTTGGGGCCATGTTGGCCCATCTTGCGGCCTATGTTAGCCCATGTTGACGCATCTTGAGCCACAAAGGCCGAAAAATTGGAAAAAAGGGGGCGAGCACAAAACACCACACGCGGTCTACGGCGGCAGGGGGCGCGGCCCCTCTCCCCTACGGAGAGGAGAGAACTGCCGTACGGCAAGGACACGGCCAGGGGGCCCCTGGCCGGATTATAGGGGCTGCCAACCCTGCCGCCGACCCACCCCGTGTTCACCTCCGCCGGACTCCGTGTCGACTGATGCCCTTGTAATTTGTGGTGTACTTTGCTTGCAGTGTTAAAAAAACATCGTGTTTTAACGGTGTTTCGGGCCCTTCGGCGGCAAGGAATTTCATCTTGGCGATGTTGAAAAACCTCGGTTTTTACGTGGTTTTGGGCTCCAGGAGGGGGCCCGGGGCGCAAAAATTGGCATCTTAAGATCGTTTCAACATAGATGGCCCAAACATGGCCCCAACATAGCTCCCAAGAGGTCTGAACATGGGCCAACATAGGCCAACATGGGCCCAACATGGGCCCGACATGAGCCCAAGATGGGCCCAACATAGCCCAACCTGGGCCAACCTAGGCCCAAGATGGGCCCAAGATGGGCCCAAGATGGCTCAACATGGGCCCGACTTGGCCCAACATAAGCCCAAGATGGGCCCAAGATGGCTCAACATGGGCCCGACTTGGCCCAACATGGGCACAACCTGCGTGCAACATAGGCCTAGACTGCTTCCATACAGGCAAGCACTGCTCATTATGCCTGCCTTAGTTCAACATAGCCCTCCCTGGGTTTGCGCGGAGAATCTCGGCCCAATCTTCCCACACCATAAGCCAAACGTCGTTGCTTGGCTGTCGCCCGGCTGTCAGGCCTAAGCCTTTAAATATAATTAATGCTGAATTCAAAATTTCGGAACCAAACGATCAGCTTGTGTCGGCGCTAAATCAAAGCTCCAGTGTGCCAAACGGCCCTCAGACACTCGCGTCCTAGACTTTCTGCATGAGCCTCTAGCCGTGCCTGAAGTGCCTGTGCCATGTTAGTGGGAAACAGCAACCCAGTATTGAAAAGACTCGCAATGGTTTCACTTCACTCAGATGGTCAAATGACAAATCTCAACGACTTTTACACCTCTGTTTCTTCACTGCGAACCTCTGGGCCATGCATAGGTGGTTTTTCTGGCGCTGCCTTGTCGCAATCTGAGCTGGAGAGATTGTTCTCTGATCAACTCTCAAACTCATCGGCCCTTGCCTCAGCCTTCTTGTCGAGAAACAGCAGCAAGCTGCGACACCTTTGACATCTGACAGATCTGAGCTTTCATCTGTTGCTGAATCATTTGAATCATGAGCAGAAATTGAGTTCTGGGCGTTTGCAATGTTGAAGGTGCCTCTGAGACTTGAACACTAGATAACACTCGGAAGCATTCGGAAGCTCGCAGGCTCACAGGATGCACTAAATGAGCCTTGTCAAGGAGCTCTCCAACGAATCCTGCAAGAAGATGCAAGAAGTACAGCACCATCCCCGGACCATCCCCGCCAATGAGTCTCAGTCAGTCTCAGTCTCTAGAGATTTCTGGAGTGTTTGACTCTGCATTGGCCTCTCTTGACTTCAACTTTTTGCTTCTTTTCAGGTTGCTTCTCTTCCTTTTGAAAGTATTCCTGCTATCCAAGTGGTTCATTTCCAAAAGTAGTGATACAGTATCTGAATATCACTGAATGTCACTGATCACTGTGAACATTTCAATATCACTGTGCTCTCAATGTGAACTCGTAGCAAGTCTCATGGATCTCATGGCCTGGCCTCTGCCAAACCACCTGACACAGACCAGGCCAGCCGCAGCAAATGCTACACAGTGCACAATAGTTGTAGAATGTTCAAGAGTCTACTGGGGTTTTATATGTTTTATTTCATTAATATCATATATATATATTATGCATATATATATTATGTGTATATATATATATTATGCATATATATATATATTATGTGTATATATATATTATGCATGTATATATATATATTATGCATGTATATATATATATTATGCATGTATATATATATATATTATGCACGTATATATATATACATACATATTCTGTATATTATGTATATATATATATTATGTAGATATATTATGTATATATATATATATTATGTATATATATATTATGTGTACATATAAATATTATGTGTACATATAAATATTATGTGTACATATAAATATTATGTGTACATATAAATAATATGTACATATAAATATTATATATATATTATGTATAAATATATGTATATGTATATCATGTGTATATATATATATTATGTATACATATTATGTATATATATATATTATGTATACATATTATGTATATATATTATGTATATAAATATATATATATATGTATATATCATGTATATATATATTATGTATATATATATATTATGTATACATATTATGTATATATATTATGTATATATATTATGTATATATATATTATGTATATATATATATTGTGTATATATATATATTATGTATATATATATACAGTATTATGTATATATATATATATTGTGTATATATATATATTGTGTATATATATGTATACATATATTATGTATATACATATATTATGTATATATATATGTTATGTATATATATACATATTATGTGTATATATATATATTATGTATATATACATGTATATATTGTGTATGTATATAATATGTATATATATATAATGTATATATATATTATGTGTATATATATATATTACGCATATATGTATATTATGTGTATATATTATGCATATATATATAATTCTATATATATATTATGTGTATATATATAATTATATATATATATTATGTATATATATATATTTATATATATTATGCATGTATATATATATATTATGTATATATATATATGTTATGTATATATATATTATGTATATCCATAATGTATATATATATATACATGCTAGTATGTGTTACATTTATATATAATATATCTTATATATTAATATGATAAAATATAATAACAATATAATATAATATTATATAATATAATATAATATATTATAATATTATATATTATAATATTATATAATATAATATAATGTATATATATATATTATTATTATTACTATTATCATTATCATGATTATTATCATCATTACTATCACTATACGTATATATATATATATATTAATATAGAGACAGAGATATATAGAGTACAAAGCCATACTGTAGTGCGGGGATCAGCAGGGAGTGAGTATCTAGGTGAGGTTTCAGTTTGAAGATCTATGGTCAAGCAGCCAAACTGAAGCTTCCGCAATGATGATGCCATGCTTGCCTTGGTTGTGTCGTGGTCGGCGCAGCCAGGCTTGAGCATTTCTTGGTCGTGGTGCCGCTTTTCTCTTTGGCTGGCTTGGGGCCAGATTTGCCTTTGCTCGAAGGTAAAGTGAGGCTCAACTGTCACCAAAGGTCACAAATCAATACAATACACATCGTACCCTGCCTTTGGAGCAGCCTTCCGCCGCCAGGGAGGCAGAGGCAGCTTCACCACGCCGAGCAAAGGATCTTCCTGCACAAGGCTTGTAGCAACAGACTTCCAAGGAGACATGTAAACCATCGCCTTGCTTGCTACCCAAGAGCACAAGACAAGAGTAGTACCAAATAATCAATGCAAAGAATGCACAATGACAATGATGCACAATGCATAATGCCAGCTGAACTGAACTTACTGTCTGTTTGTTTCACGCGGGGTCGTCGCAGAGGTTGCACAGGTCATGAGTAGGCCTTCACCCTATTTTTGGGCAACACGACCATGCCACGGCGTTCTCGAGCTCCTGCTCCAAGCCCAAGGATATCACTTTCTTTCCGCCGCTTCTTTTCAATCCGTGCCTGTTCTTTTCGATTCATAGCTGCTTCACCACTGTGCCGAGTGCGATGTTTCACAGCTGAAAACGAAACACCCAGCGTCTTCTCCTCCTCCAAGCGTTGCTGTCGAGCCTCTTCTTGTCTCTTCCAGCGTCTCTGGAGAACTGCGTATGGTTCATGTGGTCGCTTTTCCAAGGTACCACCGAGTGCACGGACTTTGGCCTGCTCATACTGCCTACGTTCAGTTGCTCCCAATTGCGGCACCACAAAATTCAACACATCCTTGAGTGTTTTCTTGAACTCTGCTGTGTCCTCTGTGTCGCCTACCTTCCTCTTCTGCTTGGGAGCTTGGGGTTTTGAACGGATATCGGCCACCTTGTCCGACATGAAGCGCCGCTTCTCCGAAGAAAACGATTTGCCTGGGATTTGAAGAACACGAGGAGCTGGACGCTGAGCCGGAGCTGCAGGAGATGCAGGAGATGCAGGAGATGGATCTGAAGGCAGCTTCGCAGGCTTCGCAGGCTTCGCAGGTGCCTTGCTCTCAACCGCTGTGGAAGAGGCTTCTTTCACCAGATCTTTGTCCTTGGAATTCGTTAACGTTTTTTCTTTTTTGGCCTTTTTTCTCTTCTTTCCCTTCAGCAAAGTTGTGTCTTCAAAGTCCTTTCCCTTCTGCTCCTCCGCCTGTGAGGTTGGGATCTTACCCTTACCAGGAATCTGGAGCACTCGAGCTGGCTGAGGAGGCTTGCTGGTTGCAGACTTGACCATTGCTGAAATAGTTTGAAAATCAACGACCAAATTTAGCAACTGTAGACAACTGTGAGCTAATGCGCTAATGCTTCTCCAAAATGCACCCTTTTGGATCCCTTCGCATGTTACTGACACACGTTAGAAGCTTGGCCTCACACGCTATGAACCAACATTGTTTAGCCGTTTGCAGGCTGTCATAGACTTGAAGGTCTGAATATGGCTGCCATGCTTGAGAGATTTACATATGTCGTCTGTCGCTAGAAGCTGAACCAAATTCAAGCGATTCCTGATTATTGATTCTAGAGGTTGTGCTTGCAGGCTACCCTGCACTTGACCCAACTGGGATCTTCCTGGATCTTTTCTTTTTGCTGAATTGAGCAGAAATCATCGACGAATTCAAAGTCGAAGGGAAAAACATGACGTGCCAGATCTGAATATCCGGCTGGAAAGGCCAACAAATCAACAAATCCATCAATCATAATTGTATATAACAATTATAATAAATAATTGTCATAATCCATCAACAAACAACGCACCTGCGGTCGCCATTCGACTGCATCCAGCTTTCCAGGCCCAGCTGCCTTCGCTGAGTTTGTGACAAATCTGTGCCTCTATGCATAGAATCTCTCTAAGCTCACTGCTTTCCTCGCAGCTTTCCGGAACACCTTGCACAGGAACACAATTTCTGCATCACTTTGTGAAATCTTTCCGAAAACCTCCAACTATCTCCAACTGAAGAATAACTTCCTGCAAACATCTGCAAATTGGTTGGCTGGTTTTCGTGTCCGAGGAGCCTTCTCCATTGCCACGTGTGGTGCAGGCTCCTCTGAAAATGGATCATAGTCCTGCCCGAAGTTCGGTTCAATTGACACTGGATTGTGCTTGACTGCATCCTTCACAAGCAAGTATGATTCAGTGTGATTCAATTGAACAGCTAGCACGGCTCATGAATACTGAATACTGCACTCACACAGTAGCAGAAGAAAAATCTCAGCTTACAAAAAGGCATAAGAAAATGAGTGCCCGACATCATCCATTGACTTGGCCTGCCGAGCTAACGATTGCATGAGGCATCTAACTTTGGGCTGTCACGTGACCCAGCTCTGACCCAGCTGCAACACAGACTTGCTGGCACCTGCAGATGACACGGCCCCCCCGCAACCAGCGTTTCCCCCAAGCTAAACTTTTCTTGCACGAGCTTCATCCCACCAAATGACTGGTTCGCCAGTCAATACCCAGGAATGCAGCTTATGGGTGCGAATTCTGGGAGTGCACAAGCAACTATGGGTACTGTAAACAAAACACCATAGAAACCCCTGTGACATTGATGATGCTCAAGATTCCCATTGCACATCCCAAGATCTACAAAACAACAGCTCCATCTGTGAGGAGTCTGACTGCATGACTTAATAGATACAGTAACTAGCCTTGTCAAAAAATCAACACCAATCCACACTGCGTGGACGGTCACGAAAACCTGCAGGACCCTCCTGCGAAATCCAGCATGCTGCATGCTGCTGTCTATCTTTGAATTGCCTCATAACTGAGCGGCTTCTCGCGGCTCTGGAGGTGTCCACAATGAATTAAAATCAAAATGAGAATATCCAGGATATTTGATGATATTTGACACATCTCCGGAAACGGAGAAATACTGTACCAGCACTACAAGATCTAGAAAACCAAAATGGCTGTCTCTTCAAGTCTCTTCGGATGTTTCCGCAAGTCTACAGCACTGGCAAAGCCAATGGTATCACTAAGCCCAACTGCCTGGCAATCTGCATTGAATAGCCCAAGCATATGCGGAGCTATTCATCTTTCTGTAAATTGATCGAATTGTCATGAATTGTTGCTGCTTTCGGGGGCAGAAGAGTGTCCAACACAAGTGCTGCAAAACAAAATCGTCTGTATCAAATCTATCTTTGAAAACCATCTCCATAACTGCTGCATGCCAGTTGTGTAGACATTCTGTGAGTCTCTCAGCCGCCACGCCTCTAAGCCCAGGGAAATGTCATCCAGTCGCCAGGGTCTAAGTGAGCAGTACCACACAGTGGCATTCAAGAAAATCTGCCCTTTGAGTGCTGCATCCAACCGGCAACAACCTAAATACCAAATGACCAAATGCTGATTGACATGATTAACATGATGCAATAGGTCGGCAAATGAGACCCAAACGTCCATATCCCAATCCAGTAGGAAAAGTCAAGGGATATTGCACGTGTTGCACATGCTTTGCGTCCCATGGCTTGGCTGCATTCATTGCATTCGGATCGGGGCTCGAGTGATCACGCACACGCAGGACCCGTAACTTCAACAGCTTGCGGGTCGTGCATTCCTGCAACATGATCTCCGGATCAGATTGGTCATTCACTGAGACCACCAAATCCCCTGGGATCAGAACACGTTCAGGGGAGCCGCTGGTGCTACACTGCCGATTCCAAGACTCCGCGGCACCCGATTCCACCCTGTCGATGCGCAAAGCCTCTCCTTTCTTGCCAAAGCACAAGCCAAGGTCCATGTCATCTGCCACCCGCAAGGTAAGCTTGAAAACGAATGCATCAACATCACCGTCATCAGCCTCGGTGTCAGCCTCACCGGCCTTGCCCTCTGAACCTTTGTTGACCTCAGAAATTCCAAGTGCCTCGGCCAAGGACAATGCAGGCAATGCTGGAGGCCACGGAGGGCCAAGTCCTGGTGGTGCAGAGGTAACTGCTGGAACAGCGCCAGGGAAAGGTGGGAGCTCCGGCATGTCCAGCTCCAGATTTGCCAGTTGGCTGGGACTGCCATCAGAGCTTCCACATGCAGTGGCAGTGGAGGGTGTCTCACCACCTTGCACTGGCAGCTCCTGAAAAGCGCCACAGAAGTTCAGAGAAGCGTCAGTGCAACATGCCATGATTGCCCCTGACGTGTACAAAATTTGATTGTTCTTGCTCATATTAAGAAGCTGACTGGAGCTCAAAACCTTCCATTCTAGCATGCTCCAGCCCAAGCTCCTTGCAATCTCCCTCACCAGGCATCACTTGCTTGATCCTGATACAAGGAAAAGTGTGCAAAAGGGTCGATTTCGCATGGATCAAACCTAGGAATCCACTCGCTCCAGGGTTCAAGTGAGTCTATTCTGCCAAGACGCAAGGAGCTGAGCATCGACATTAAGGCTTGATTCTCAGCCTGAGACCCAAAAATCGAAAACGTCAAAGGTAGACTGGATCAAACATGTCATAAAATGAGGGAAAGTAGAGACGTTCTTGATAAAAAGCACTGCAGGCAACCCAGAGGAGTCTGGTATGGAAGGGACGGGGACTCAGAGATGCAAGAGTTGGGAGAATTTACATGATTCACGATTGTTTGTTCATTGATCTGGATACAATGCTGACATTTTGCGGGCGGCTGAACCCCCAAGCTTTAAATTTGAAACTGTTCTGGTGTTGAAATGCTGTGAACACAAAAAGTGCATGATGCTTCCACAGGCTTGGCGAAAGCACCTGCATAGACTGCTGTTTGGCCGTCAAGATTTTGGCCTAGCACAGTCAATGGGAGCAATGGGAGCAATGGGAGAGCAAAGATCAGCATTGGCAAAATGCGGTGACAGATGGTGACAGATGGTGACAGATGGTGACAGATGGTGACAGATGGTGACAGATGGTGACAGATGGTGACAGATGGTGACGGGTGGTGACAGATGGTGACAGATGGTGACAGGTCACCTCTTCCAGAAGTTGGTTCATGGATCTTTCTTGCTCGCGTTGCTGCTTCTTCACCTGTCGAGTGCAACGCGAGTGACCCTACGCTGCCTTGTCCATCCTTTTCCTATCATTTCACATTTGCCTCTCATGAACTGTATCGTGTCAGCTCAATGAAGAAGGCATCACCACTACTCTAAGCTTTCACCAAGTCAAACTCAACCAGCTAAAGCATCTGACTCTGACACTCCACGTGGTGGCTCTCCATGTTGGCTCCAGCTCTTCTGGCCCCTGCCTCTGTTGCGGCCTGTGTCCACAGCTGCTTGAGCCTCGTGATATGGGACTTGGATGGAGATAATTCTAAGTGTAGGGAGAGTTACTTCATGACTTCAATTAATCTTGGAAAACCCAACTCAAAGCAGTCGCCAAATATGTGTGTACGTGTCCTGTTGTGACCAAAACTCAAGACACGAACAAGGCCAAAAGACCCAAAGTTACGGAATTTCATGAAATTTATAATAAATTTATCTGAATCTCCAAGACCAGAATGAAAATGTTTAAAATGAATGCAATCGCATCGTTCCAAGATGTTCCAAGATGTCCCAAGCCTTTCATCAATCCTCGATCCAGCCTCCAGGGGTGCATTGGTGTCTGTAGTCTCTTTAGCTACTGTAGCGGCTATGGTTCCTCCAAGCTGCTGAGATGGATAAAGCGAACGCGCCTCCTCCATGACGGCTGCGCGTACTTCATTGAGCAATCGAAAGGCACGGTCTTTTTTGGAGTCCTGGATTGCTCTTCGGATCAAAAATCAAAGCTGACCTCACTGCAAAACTTGTTGCAGACCATCGGCAAAGCCAAGCGCTTTTCTCAGCTCAGCTGTCCTGGCCCGCCTGCATACCTCACGGCGAGGTTCAAACTGAGGCTCAAAACAAATGCCGTGAGACCACAAGCTGCTAGTGTCATGCTGTGTTCTTTTCCAATCGGGAGCCAATCGCAAGCTTTGCCACCTCTGATTTCGGAGCCCTGAGAATCTCATTTTAGAGTTCTGCTTCAGAGGAAATTGAGAGAGTCATCTCGACACTAGCAATACTACCAACCCTGCATTATGTAGGAATTCTACACTCTGCAGGACACGGTTCTAGACTTGCAACAGCTTTGCTTGTTGCCCAGCTGAAAACAAAGAATTGGTGTTCGCGGAAGCTTTGATGTTCAATTCATAATCCTGGTTCCACAAAGTGCATTAAGGATGTGGTTCAGATATTTCAAGATGTATCGTACTAAAGTATACTAAAGTTAGCTTGAATGGAATCACGAAACAATCAGTTTCATAAACTCACAGTGAACCTACAGTAGTCTACAGTGAACTTACCTTACTTGATCCGATTGATCCGATTGATCCGATTCCTGGCTTCCGCAAAGATCATGCAGGAGTCGCAGGTCGAAACCTCCTTCTGGCCACAGGTTGCCGAGTTGGTGGGCCTGTGGGGGCACAAGGCATCAAAGGAGGTGTTGGAACCCGCGGTGTAACAGTTGCCATGGGCCCTTGATATGGCCCCTGGACTGGGACTGAAGCAGCTCCAGAGCAATTTTGGTTTACTGCACTTGCTTTGAGATTGCATTGCAGCTGAGTGGATTCGCAGCGCTGAAAGTGTTGCGTTATGGACCACGACGCATCATCTGCTATCAGAGTATGCAGCAATGTACGCTCCAAAGCTGAACGTCGGACAAGCAGCGAACGGCCACCGTTGGCAACCGTGTAACAAGTCTGGAGTACATTTCCGAGACCATCTGATGGCTTTGTCAGGACATGCAATTCGCCGTCCGAAAGCCATGCTTTGGTGCTGAACTTGCCATCACAACGTTCCACTCCATCGGCAACTACCTGTTCCTCCGAGACTCCAAAGCCATGATCCCGAAGCTGAAGTATGGTGAAGATTGGGACTGTGCCTGGTATTTCGACCACACACACCTCCCTGATCTCAGCAAAAATGTGCAGACGCCGTAAGATCCATGGGACGCCCTGTGCTTTCAGAAAGCGTTCCAGGTTCCGTGGCGCGGACTGTTCCAGTTTCCAGATCCCACCAAAGCTTCCACTGATTCCACCAGATGCCAGTGCCTCTGATTGCAGCTGCAGAGCAGAAGCCCGAGTGATCATCTGCAGTGCAAAGGATTCATATTCCAAAGATTGCAACAAGGGCAAAGACCACAAAGAGTTGCCTAAAGCTTCTCTCAATGCTTCTGCTACATTTTCAGCTCTTGTATTCTTCTCTTGAAGAAACTCCTCCATTTCTCGCTCTGCAAGCTCAAGATACTCTTTGTGAAGGAGTGTCCACTCCAACTTCTGCTCTTCCAAAAGGCTGCCACCTTTGAAGTTTTTGCATTTCTCCTCCATAAATGCTTCTAGTTTGGACTGCAAGCCTGAAGCTCGCACCATGAAGGCGCAGAACTCCCGTGCCAGAGTTGACATCTCCGATTCTCGGGTGTCTGAATCTTTCATTTGGGCACATCGGATTTGGGAGCAACAAGCAAGGAAACCATCGGCTGGGCAATGAAGCTTGAGCAAACCAGCGGGGATAAGCAGCTTGAGGCATGCGCTCAAAATCAAACTTGCAAAAAACAAAGCCATTGGTCATTGTATCCATCAAAAAACTCAAGCCGTTGTTGAATAGCGACACAGGAAGTCACAGTTGAAAGGCTCTGGCTGAAACTGTCCATTTCAGAGCCTCGAACACCTCAGTGCGGATGACATTCGATCACAGCAATTCGTTCCCAGGTGCCTTGGGGACCTTGGGGACATGGAATTTGCAAGTCTCACGTCGTGCAGCCGGGACACACTTGCAGACTGGCGCGTCGGCACTCTTTTCTGAATTAAGCACTTGAGCCACAACAACGTGAATCTCATTGACATATCTCAAGTCGCCTGTAAAGTTCCTTCCAACATACAGGCATTTACACGACTCCAAAGGCGGTTTCAAAATGAAAAGAACTTCGCTGAAGCAACGGTCCCAAAACTGTCAAATGAGGCCTGCCTTTGGCCTCGCAGGTACAGCCTTGCCACCTCTCCAGGGTGGCACTGCAAAGGCCTGGACAAACCGACACCCAGCGGACTGCTGTCCGCTAAAGCATTCTCAATGTGATGGCAGCCTTGCCGGCAAACATGGTGACGTCAGACCGAGCCACTGCTGCAGCCTGCAACGCAAACTAAAATCGTTCAGAAGCTGAAGAAAGTGTGCTTCACTTGATAGCCAGCAGTGAATCTTCAAAAATCCGCATTTCAGCAATATATCCAGCTCACAATTTCAATCTCAAAGAAACGCACTGGATCCGAATTGCTTCTGAGTGCAATTCCAAGGCCCGCCTTGGAGAATCCTTTTTGAAAGCGGCGGGCTGTCGCGCCAACCATCCCAGCCTCACCGTTCAATCCAGTGCAGTGCCAGTGCCACGCGAGAGCCAGGACAGCCAGACAGGACAGACAGGACAGACATCTAAGGCTCTAAGGTCTGGGCCATCGCAGCGGCCTTGGAGGTCGTTCGTGCCCCCCAAGCCGCTGCCTTGGAGGTGGCAGCCTTGGCCAAGAGAGCTCTCTTGCTGGAAGCCATGGACGCCGCCTTGGAAGTGGACCAAGTGCACCGAGTGGGACTGACTCCAGGAGCTGTTGCCTAAAGCTTGTCGATTCTGAGGCAACAGCCTTGGATTCCGCTTTCATCAGCACCTCCGATACATGCATCAGCGCTCACTGCCTCTAAGAAATACAAGTTGCGGATGTCATGTCATTGGCTTCGCACAGTCAGTGCCTGCTTGTGCTTTCGCCTGGGCAAAGCAAGCAGGTTTACTTCGAAACGTACCGTAATTGCTATATTAGTCCAAAGGTCTGAATGTGCAAGGCCGAAGACAGGATGTCACTGTCAATTAAAAGCAGTACACGGCCGAGTCACACAATGTGCCGCTTAGGCATCGCAACCATCACAGGGGGACCGTCCTAACATCTGCAGAGACCAGGGAACTGAGTCATGGATCAGGTGGGCTGTGTGGATCTGTGCGGGGCTATTGACATCTATTCATGACGCTAAGCAGCAGACAAGTTTGCGAGGTGGAACAGCCTCAAAGATTTCAGCAGGTTTCCAAGCATTGGCTCGGCTTCGAAAAGCACCCTGCCTTTGGTGGTGGCTTTGGCATACCAGCCTCTCAAAGACATGGACTCCCCTTGGCTCTGATTTAGTTGACTTTTTCTTTCAATCACATAATGTCAAATGACTTGAATCCTAGTCAATTCCACCTGTGCAGGAGGGGGGTATTTCACGGTCAGACTTTTTTCACTCAGCTGTCGCGGCAGTTGCTTCTGCACAACTCATCAACCTACTTGGACAGCATTGCTGCAAACGAAACAATCCAATTAGATGAAGGTAAGTCTGCGACAGCAAATAACATGAAGATTTGCAATGGCCTCCTGCTATCTCCTGCTACTGTTCTGTTGTGTGCATTTAGTCCAAATATGTAAACTGTGTTGAGTTCTTTGTGAAGGTTGGTGCGAAAGCCAAGCTTCTGGGATGCTTTTAGGCCTATGTGCCCTATCCCGCGGCTCAGCCATCAATATTTCCGGAAGCTCGTCTTCAAGACGAGGATCAACCTTTCGAGAAGAAGTCTGGAAACAATTCAACCCGGTGCAGGCACAGCAAGGACCACAGCGGACCTTTTGAATACAGATACAGTATATAATTTATATAATACAACAATTTGGACTTAACAACGTCGCCAAAATGGAAAAAAGAGCAGCTGCGCAGCATCTTCCCACCTCGAAACAAGGTCCAGCTCCTAGAGGAGGTCTACCAAATCGGCATTGCCTCCACCACTTTGCCTGTGCATTGTAGAGCAAGACACCGCAAAAGACGATTCAATATATATATATATATGTATCCAATGAATTCCAATGATATCCCATCTATGGTGATATCATGTGATATCAAAACGTGGCCGGATTGCTCTGGAGCAGGAGGCTCTCCGGCAGATTCCTCAGCGAACAGATTCAAAACATCCAATGGATACTGAACTGATACCGAACTGAACCAGCCGTCCTCGTGCCGTCGTCAAGTTGTTGAGCTGGGCTCGTGACTGGCGGTGCTGCTGCATCAGGTACCAGCAACTCCGGAGAGGAGGACTCCACCACCGTTTCAGGCGCCGATCTGGCGATATGTTCAGAGGCGCTGGGTCGTTGAACCACTGTTGACATCTGTTGACCCTTTATAGTGATCTTGAAGTTGGAAATAGACCCTAGAGTCCCTAGAGTCTAGAGATCCCAAGTAACGCTGCAAAGCACCTGAAAATGAAGAAAAATGATGAAGGAAACAGCAGGATGCATCAAAAGCTGTATAAATCTCAGATCTGTGGATCATTCAAAATCAAGCCAGCATCACTGCGCAGGCACTGGTGCCGGCTCTGGCCTCAGACAGAACGATGCACCACATCGTTCAACTCTGAGATGGCAAGGGAATCAAGGGACTCAAAGTCATCCCAGGTCCCTGACATCAGCAGGTCAAGCGTGGGCTGCGACTCAGGGATTGGATCCACTGCCACTGGTGGAATATGCACCGGCTGCACTGGTGCCACCGGTGCCACGGGTGCCACGGGTGCCACGGGTGCCACGGGTGCCACAGGGGCCATGGGCTTGACTGGCTCTGGCACCGCCGCTGGTCGCTCCACCAAAGGGCCTTCCGGTCAACAAAATGGGAATTGAAGGAACGTGCTGCACATTGAAACATGCCGTTCTCCACGTTGGACTGTCCTACTATACTTGCTGCAAGCGAGAGTCAAGAAAAGGCCAATGCTCGAACGAACGCAGCAAATGAACGAGCAACAACTTCAGCGCCTTTGAGCAACATACTCTGGAAACCATCAGGGCCTTAGTGCACAAGGCCATTCAATCGCCTGTTCGTTGCTTCTGCTGGCGCTTCACCTTCTGCATCTCTGACTATTGAAGCTTCTAGAAACGACTGCATGATCTATAGCCAGGGCATGGAAGTTCAGCAACAATAACTTGGAGCGGCGCCCAACTTCTTCATTTCTTCAATCACATCCATCTCCAAAAACTCCTTTTCCTTGCACAAAACAGCGAGTCACATGAAAGTTCCGTGTGCGTGTGTGTGTGTGTGTTTGTTTGTTTGTTTGTTTGTTTGTTTGCTTGTTTGTTTGTTTGCTTGTTTGTTTGCTTGCTTGCTTGCTTGTTTGTTTGTTTGTGTCTTGTAGCTCTTCATCTATCAAGAGGGTGGTGCTGATGATAAGCTGGAACAAAGAACGGGCTCAAGAGATTGAAGAACAACTCAAAACGACCTGTGTTTCATCTCTGAGAGAGAGTCTGTTGCATAGGCGGAGGCAACTGGCGGGTTCTTTCTCTTGGCCTTCAAATCAATGGTGCAAAAGTGCAAAACGTCAAAAGATGTTTCTTTTCGCAACTGCACACCGTTGACTTGTTAACACTATCAAATCTCGCCAGTCTTTTGCCAAATCATCCACGACGTTTTTTCGAGTCAGGGCCTCGAAGACCTTCTCTGCTGCAAGAGTCAGATCATAATCCTGGAAAAGATCAGGATACCTTAGTCAAATAATCGAACAGTCAAACAAACTCGACAAAAAAGGAAGGAAACACCACACCTCTTAGTCACTTAGTCTTTATGAACAGGACTTGATAACAATCACTGAAGGGCTGGCTTCGCAGGATCGGCCAAAGATTCGGCCACGGCCTTGTCACACTTCCAAGCAAGTTCATGAACATAAAATGACATAAACACTTGATTGAAGCATGATAACAAAACTCATCCATGAACCCCCAGTAAAGGGCTTAAGTCCATGAAGGGTAGTCTCCGGGGTGTCTCTTGGATTCTTTTGGTCCAGCTTTTTTGTGCCTGGTTCACCTTTGCCAAGTCTTCTGTCCAGATCTGCACCTGAGTTCCGGGTTCAGTCTCTGGACAGAGTTTGACATCACAATCCTGTCAAGTGACTACAATGAACAGCACCAAATATGTTGGTGCAAACAAAGTACAATCAGAATTCAGTCCACAAACTCCAAAGAAAAGAACTGCCAAACAGAACTGACTCAAAACTCGGAGTGAATAGATCAATCCAAATCTGCTGACTGTCAGGATGATCACTAGAAAGCAATGCAGAAGAATAAGAATATTGACATACCACAATTTGTAGTCCTCCGATCTGTCGCTGCTTTCCCTTGAGCCTCCCACAACTCTGGACAGCTCACTCGGACAGTACGTCCTGGCAAAGAACGCCGCCTGAAGGGTGAAATCAGGAACGCAGCCCATCGAAGCCAACAGACACACTTTTGCCACAGATGTCATGTATGTCACCTGTGGAGTCTGTACGCTTTGTATATTTGTGGAGTTTGTAGCACTTTGTCGTAGGTGCACATAGTTCATCTATGTTCATTTGGAGTTTGGGGTGGGGTCACATACAGTCAAATGAAGTTGTAGTGTTGGGACTATTTATTGAGATCAAATTGCTGCAACTTTCAACAAGTTTACACATCAGTGCAATCGAAAAGTAGGATGATGCACTAGCTTACCATGATCCCAGCTGAAGCTAATCACTAAGGCAGCTACTTCAGGCAAACGATTGGCGTTGATGAGCACCTGAAAGCAACATGTTGCCCAAACAACACGGAACAAAGCAGCAATAAGCCAAGAAGTGTGAAAGAAGTTTGCAGCTTTGTTGGGCCTGCAAGGCACGTTTGGTTTCGCCCAGCAACAAGTAGCAAAGCACAGCAATGTTGCCAATGTTGCTTTCCTGACCGCGGGATGAGCTCAAACAATCATACAAAAAAAAGAAGACAAGTACATTAAAAAGCTGTAGAAAGAACGCGTCATTAGTCATCACAGCACCAGCCTCCGCCAGTTTGCCAGTGTTTAGAACACCTTCAGCATCACCAACCGAAGTGTAGAGCAAAAAGAGAGCTCCAAGGTCCTGAAGGAGCTCATTGACCGACATGACCAAGCAAAAAACCTGTGGCCCCAGCATCCCAAAGTCTCGCAAAACTGCAGAATAAAAAGTTGGATAAAGAAAATTTTGGAAATGTCACTGATCCCACCGTCAGTCCCTGATATTAAAGGGTCCTTCGCTTCACTGAAACAGCGCTTGGCCAAGGTGAAGTCACCTGGACACGCAGCCGGGACACTTGGTGCCACAAACCATCACAAACCACTGCTGTGCCTTGCTCCAGAGCTACATCACCCAGGTTCTTCCACTTGCCACGAGGAGGCATGGCTGGGTTTGCCTCCAAAATCAAAGTAATGAGAGCCATTCGCAAGTTTGGGCACTTAGACTCTAACACACTCTATTAGACTCTAACATCTCCAACTTGGATTGACTAGAAATAAGGATGGTCACAGTTTGCATCTGGCGAAGACACAACGTCCATAGCATGCATTGCATGCACAATGACAAGCCTGAGCGGAGATGCTGACAATGATATCTGCAGCCATTTGCAGCTTGCCCAGCTGCGTTGCCAGTTCAAAGCGATGTTCATCGTCCTGCGTGCTGCAATGCTTGAGATGTTCGCCTTCTCTTTGCTATCTTTGTCATGTGTATCTCATACTAAAGCATAAGGCAAGTACTTGATATTATACACCTAATAAGATGGTAGCATGTTTCTAATCATAGTTAATCATAATTGTATATCTGTAGAAAATTGAAATAAATATGGAATTTTGAGTTTGACAATGGACGATCTGCACTTGAAAATCACTGAAACCTAAGCTTGGATTGTCGGATCTCGTCCTTCGAGATCTGCAAGGCTTCAGCTTGGTAGCCCTGATTCTCCAAAAAGCGCGCGATGCGATTGTGCAAGGACCTGAAACTGCTTGAAACCGCTTAAACAATTTGATCTTGCAAAACAAATTCTGAGTCATGTGCAATGTACAGGACAGGATTTGTTGGCACAATTTGTCACAACTTGCGAATTGAATCACAGCCACAGAAATCGCCGAAGAATATGAATAATTATCAAAAGTTATCAAACATTGTCATAATATTGTTAGTAATTTGCCCAGAATGTCTGATCAAAGCCCCCAACTCAGGCAACTGGGCAAAGAAAGTCTCAGCTGTAGGGAAGTCCTCACTCAGAGCGGAGCTGTTTTGTGTCCCAGGACCGAAATCCAGTGGACGTTAAACTCTTTGTGTGTTCAAGATGGGTCGTGGTAGAATCAGAAAACTATTGTCCAAGAACTGTATCCAAGACCCAAGTTTGGAGTCTGTGGATGCTCTCCTTGCGCATGATTGCAGACTGGTACTCGATCAGCGCCATGTGGAGGGTGAAAGGTGTCACCTGACTTGTCCATGTATACCAGTATACATATTTTGTTGAAATATCATGTATATACAGTATACATGTCATGTACATGTCATGTAGATATCTGCCAGGCCCTCGCGGCATTGGCTAAGACTGTGACATTGAGCTCTTTGTCAATGAGGTAAAGCTTGGACTGCTCTGGCATGTATCCAAGCAAGTACCTCTTGCAAAATCTATTGGGGGCAGGTTGGACTCACCCTCAAAAGACAACACAGAAAACAGAAGTCAGGAGCACTGAACTCTGTCCAAATGGGCAAGGGTCTCCTGTCCCACGGGATCCCACGGGATCCCACGGGTATATCATGTGAAAATACCATGTTTTCATAGCTGATCACATCTTATCCCCATGATCTACGGCATCTACGGCTTCAACTTGGTGGCAAAAAGCTCGACATAGCTCTCCTGTGAGCCTGCCACGAGGCAAGTCAGGCGCTGGGCATGGGAGATGTAGACCTCAGAAGCATTGCACAAATTGAAAGTCCTTGTGTTGCTAGGTGAGAAGCAAGAAACATACTAAGGGAAATATAGGAAAGTGCGAAACGTGCAAGCCATAGCAATTGGAGACATGTGCACTCCGCTTCACCAACCTCCCTCTGCTCTGCTAAGTCAGGAACAAAGCAATCGCCAACCCATAGGCCACTGATCACCTGACGCAAAGGACTACACAAAGATCCTTTGCAAACATAACATGTACCTTATTCAGTACAATATATTGCAACAATATCTACAATGCATCACAGTCGCATCAAATGAAACATGTCGTAAGATGTAACAGCATCGGACAAGGCCGGCAAGGGATGCAAGGCCTTGTCGCTGATTTCGTTCTGCAAATCGAATGCGGCTTCAATGCCATCCTGCAGAAAACGTTGCCCGATTTCCATCGAAGGCCTTGAGTTTGAGTCTTGCGGATCAAATACACAGCCAACGACTTTGCTTCCAAACATCTCATGTTTTCTCTCCACGCACCGTGTGAGGTGCATCAAATCCTACAAGCCATCAACGGGATGGCCTACTGCAACTGTAGTTGCACCAAAATTTGCCAAGTGCTGCAGCAACGCTACAACTGTACACCTACGCTTGGCCAAACCTAAAGCCTGCAAGGGGTGGCCCGCTTGACTTTGCCAAGCACAAGATCTCGTCGTGGCTTTCCCACGAACACAGAAAGTCCTTGTAAAAAACATAAAAACTCAGAAGGAATACCTCTCATATTGTCGCACGAGCAAAGGGGTGTACATCTTCCGGAGCAGCTTGTGCTGGTGGATGTGTCGATTCGGGATTTTGTTCCGTTCTCTCGGGCACAAACACTTTCAGCTTGGACAAGTTCGAGGACTTTGCTGTGACGAAGTCCTCTCCTGCCACTGTATTCTTGCGCTCCAGAGCACGGGAGTCCTGCCTGTTCGCAGATGCTGCCCGGGTCCGCCGCAAAAGCATTGCAGCAAAGTTCAGCTCACCACCTTTTTTGCCAGCAGCTGTAGCAGCTGGAGTCTGCCGAGCTTCTGTCTTCTGGTGGACCGGTGGCATTACTGGAACTGGGGGAACTGGCTTTGTGCGGCCCACTACGTCAGGAACAACATCGAGAGAAACGGTGGGGAAGGCAGAATCTGATGGGGCAGCTGCACCAGATAAGGGCTCTGTTTCTTTTCTCTTTGCTTCGTCTGTTTCTTTTCTTTCAACTGGTTCTTCTCCCTCTTTGTCTATGGCAGTGTCGGCAAAAGAATCTCCCTCTTTGCTTGACTGACTTTGCGGCTTGGTGCCGGCTACCGGTGCTGGAGGTACAGGAGTAGGTTGCGTCAGTTCAGGGATGACGCCATCCTGATCATCTTTCGCTGGTGGCATTGGGGTTGGATCGCTGATGAACAGCCAATCTGCTGCATCCACTTTGGGAGTTGGCTGAGTGCACCACGGCGTTGTCACCGTTTCATACACCATGTTCAACACCGGCACCGAAGCAAGCGACTCTGGAAGAGGTGTTGGAGCTTCAATCGGGGGAGTGGGCAATGTGTCTGAGACAGGCTCTTGACGCACCACGGGCGGTTCATAGATGAAAGGTGTTGGCTGACTTTCGGGGCCATGCTGACTTTCAGGTGGCTCCTCTTTGAGCTTCTTGAGCTGTGACTCGAAGATTGAATCTATGTTCTGCTCATCTGGGCACCTCTTTCGCTTCACCTCCTGAAGTTCAGCACCTTTGTTCTCTGGCCGTTGCCCTTCAGGCCGTTCCCCAACTCGCTCCACATTGCAAGCGGATCGCACCATAGATGCGTTGCCTGTGTTGCCTGTGTTGCCTGTGTTGCCTGTGTTGCCTGTGTTGCCATTGAAGAAAGACCTGTTCTGGGCATCTGCTCTTTCTGAATCACCCTGGCATCGCTTGCGCCGTGAGGTGGAAGTTGAAAGATTTTCATACCGAGCTCGACAGCAACATTGAGGGCAACGTCCTCCATTCGGGTCATTTGCAGTTGAAATAGTTGATACTTTGCATAAACAATTACAAACAATTACCGTATACTATGTGGATAGATGTGTATACTAAGTGTATACCTTGCAAAGGTGTTTGAGACCAAGTGCACTGTCATCTTGAGGATCCTTAACCTTTCAAGATTCAAAAAAGTGCTGGATGTTGCTTCGGAGGTCCTGATCTCTAGTGAAATGACACACGGCCTCCTGTGCCTTCAGAAAAAGTGTGCAGCTTAACCTAACATCTCCGCCCAGCTCTCTCCTGTGTCATCTCCAGGGCCACTGACAATGCCGCGGGATTGCTTTGATACAAGCGGAGTGGGCTCAACTTCGAGTCGTTCTTGGCTTTTGAAAATATCCTCTCCCTCAAAATCTTCCTGCGAGTGTCTAAAGTTCGGCTGGGACGCTTGACTAAAAGCCACGCCCTGAGAGCGAATCTTGACCTGACTCTTAGGTAGAGCAGCTTGGGGGTCATCTAGAAGAAGCTTCAAATGATTCGGTGGCAGAAATGCTTCTCCATGTGAGCGCGACCTTGCAGACTCTTTCTTCGACTCATCTTTGGGAGCAACTCTCGGAGCTGGAACTTGAGGCTTTGCCAGTTTTGGAGTCCGGTGACTGCTCCTCGAACGCGCAGGAGCTTCACGTCCAGAACCACGTTGGCTCGCTGCTTGAGAAGCCAAGAGGCTAGGAGGGCGCCCTCCCAGTCTCGAATAGCATTGATTGCGCCATTCCAAGATCTTATCCTTGGTCCAGCCTTGTTCAAACTTCATATAGCAAGCTCTTGCAATCACTTCTGCAGCCAAACGCGAGTTGCGTGCTGCTGGCACCGTAGTTTGGAATGGAATCCGGCTACCTCCTGCTCCTTGCCACTGAAAAGAGAAGACCTTCTTGGCACTTTGGTACTTCACCGCATGGTGAGCCGGATGTCCTCTCGGTGCATCTTCCGGCAAACCTTTCACATCACTTTCGGCAGGCTCCAGCTCCACAGGCTCCACAGGTGCACTGTGCACAGCTGCTCCAGCTGCACCAGCTGGACCTGGTGGACTACCGTAAAATTGAATCCAGCACTCGTAGCAATACAGGCCGCCGTCATTGGGGTCTTTGAAGGTTGTAGCCTTCACCCCACAATCCTGACACGATTCACTTCCCATTCATCTCTGTGCATGGCTTCACTTGCTGGGCCAAAGAATTTGAAGCTAAAAGGCCACCACGGTCAGTGATTCATGTTCAATACGAGCTCAAATCTATCATGAGTCATGAGACTAACTTGTGGAAAAGCATGGAAAAGCCTGATCATCATCTCAGTCAAGCAAAGGATTCCAAAGCTACAAAGCGTAGCGTGAGTGTGAACATGTGCCAACCTCGTCAACAGCTACACCAGAGACCAGCGCAGCTTGCACCGCCTCTTTGTCATGCCTTTCAGAACAGAAGGGCTTTGCTGGGCGCTTTGCAGCAGAAATCGGCAGAAATCGGCAGCCAGGAGTGGATTTATTGAGAAGACTGCAAGCCCAGAAGCCTGAGCACATAGAAGGAATCGGGGCAGATGAGCACCACGTTGGTGCCATCTTCTGACCTCATGACAACACAACTGTCACACACAACAGTCTCTCCTTTCCATGCCTTTCTATGCCTTTCTGTCATACAGCTGCACTGAAGCTGAAGCTAGAGCTGGAAATATCACTGGGCTAACCACCAAATCACATCTTTGGGCACCACGTCAATGCGGCGAACCAAACGATACCTTGCAGCCACAATGTCACACGAGAAATGTTCTCGTTTTCTCGTTTTGTGCAGGTGTCTCAAATTTACGCAATCGCCAAATCCCCAAATGATCTACATTTTGGAGCCACCCATCTGTTTGGCAGTTTGGCATATCTCAGTATCCTGCTCCGTCCAGTCATAGAAGCAAATGAAGTCCCCACCACGGATACCCAACAAACGTCCTGCAAGGGATGGCCAGTCGAGACCCCAAAAAGATCAGCATAGCCTAGCATTTGACAAATATTTGACAAACATAGCCGACTGATCCGAAAGGCAGTCCTCCAAAGATCTCTTCGACATTGAACTGAGGCTTAAAGGAGAAGCTCTCCTTGAAGTCCTGCCACAAGTTCACGTCTGCAGCCTTGCTATAAGTCATATTTCGATGTGATTCCATATCCACATTTTGGAACTGATGCACAACACCAATGCATATGCCGCCTGGAAAACTGTGATCTTGCCATTGCTGTCTCGCGTTGCATAGGCGCCAGAGTGAGCCCAAACAAACTGGCACGACGACGAAAGTTGTCTGCGCTCTGATAGTTTAAAACAGGCAAAAAAAGGATCTGTTGCAATACCATGCCGAGAGCAGTAAAATGGTCATAACATGTCATAACTCATGACTCTACAGTCTCATCATGTCTCATCAGTGTGTTTCTAAGACTCTTACCTGACGTGCTTTACCTGACTGGAAGAACAGAACATCGGGCCTCCAATGCAGGTCCATAAGACTTGTTGCGCAAAGCCTGCAATACACGATGTGTCTGGTCAGTCCTTTTGGCAGTACAGGTGAAAGGAGCATTGTCACCAATTGTCACCAGCCATCAGAACTCACAACTGGGTCATGCCGAGTTATGCCTATTCTACTACCTGGAACCGAACAGTGCCAAAGCGTGTCAAAGCTTCACCAGATTTTACCAGGCCTGAGCTGTGTAGATGACGAATTCGCCATCACCACACACTGCAAACAGTCGGCCTGTCAGAGTCATCCAGCATTTGTTGCTAGCATCTAAAGACATCTAAAGTGGGTTCTCCTGTTCAAGAGCTGACCATGAACCACCACATGAACCACATGATTACATCCGGAACCGCATACTCTCTGGCGCACCGTTCGGGTGATGGGCAATGTACTGCGGGAAGACTTCCGCAGCGCCCATGTCCTGGTTACAACTCATTCTGAGCCGTGACCTCGTTCGTACCAGTCTAGTACTCCTTTGCTCAAGCTGTCCTTGACACTGAGGGGAACTTTCTCACCCTCTCTAGCTGTGACACCCTCGTCCAACAACTTCAAGTTGGCGGTCTGGATCTCATTTCCTTTGGCCTGGCAGCTTTCAAGAATTGGGAAAAAGACATCTGTGATCCCAACATTTCAGATCTGCGAGGATCCAGTTCGAACAAATTACGGCCTCAATGCTTGCAAGCAAGGCAGTGGTACCCAAATGATTTTGCCAGAATGCATTGATGCAACTGGCTCCTGCCAAGCATTTGTATGTTGGATGGAAACGACGTGTGATGATGGTCATGGGTCATGGCCTTGATCTCAAAACACAACTCTGAAATGCAAGATGCCTCACTGCCCAATTTGATGACCACGGTCCCCTCATCGTATCCAAGAGCAGCCTGGACGATGATCATCAAAACCATTCAGTGGTTCAAGTTTCCCCACAATCAGAAGCAGCTGATTCCCTCAGTGCAGAAGCTGCCAACTGTGGCCGCTACTGTATTGGATCCTTTCAGGACGGAGATTGACCAAACGCGCTCCAGGAAATAACTAAGTGTTGCCTGTCGAGTCTGTCGAGCGCCAAGGGTCAAAACGAAGCAGCTACGAATTCTGGAAGCAGATGCCAAGAACCGAAACTCAACTTACGTTGCGAGTGGTTGCTTTGTTTCCACACAGCCTCAAGGCGGTAAGTAGAGCCGTGCCATATTCTCACGGTGCCATCCTGAAGCAGTCAATTTTGGAGATCGCTTGCTCTGTCGCAAGTACACTATATCGCATATATCGGCTGCCTCACTTCCAGTCAAGATGATCGGCAAGGCTGGATGAAACAATGCCTCAGAAGGATGCAACAGAAAGCCCAGAATTTTTGCTCTACGACCTGCTTCAGAACGACATTAATTCTGTCATGCGCATATTACAAAGAGCAACAACCAATTGGAATTGGTCTTTCATTCAAGGCACATATGACACGTTGTTGGTGTGACCAGTGAGCGTCTGGATGCACCTGCCACATGGGAATGTGCGGCTTAAGGCTTAAGTGCAAATTATATAATGCGCTGCCTGGCTGCTTGGGTCCTAATTTATTCTGTGGCAACTGAGGGCGCACTGCTTAGTTTGGTAGTCCCAGATCTTCACCGTCCTGTCATCGGACCTCAAGTTCTGCTAATGGATTGCTGTTTCCTCGGACTTTTCTCTTCTGAGGTCGCAACCCTGAAATGATGTATGGCTTCTCACCTCCAGGTGAATACCTCAATCATCCAAGCATTTTGGAACACATCGACCATGGTCAAAACACCCCCAAGTTGGGATTGGTCATCCTGCCTTTTTGGGTGATTTAGAAGACCAGACCCGAAACACATATTTGTATATGATCATATATATATATACACATGTGTGTATGTGTTCATACGTGTATATATATATATATTATACTTTATGTACATATATATATATATATATACACACTATACGTATACATATATATATATACACACTATACATATATATATATATAGAAATATGCTGTACATATATAAATACTATAATACATGCATGCCATACATGCATGCATGCATGCATGCATGCATGCATGCATTACATACGTACATACGTACATACGTACATACGTACATACGTACATACGTACATACGTACATACCTTCATACCTTCATACCTACATATCTACATATCTACATACCTACATACCTACATACCTACATACCTACATATCTACATACCTACATACCATACATACCATACATACCATACATACCATACATACCATACATACCATACATACCATATATACCATACATACCATACATACCATACATACCATACATACCATGCATACCATGCATACCATACATACAACCATGCAACCATACATACATACGTACATACATACATACATACACACATACATAAAATACCATACCATACATTACATTATGTTACATTACATTACATACATGCCATACATACCATACATACCATACATACCATGCATACCATGCATACCATGCATACCATGCATACCATACATACCATACATACCATACATACCATACGTAGCATACATACCATACATACCATACATACCATACATACCATACACACCATACATTACATACATTACATGCATTACATACATTACATAACATAGCAGAACATAACATAACATAACATTAGTTACATACATACATACCCTACCATGCCATACCATACCATAACACTACATAACATCACATTACATAACATTACATTACATTGCATAACGTTACAGAACATTACAGAACATTACATTACATAACATTACATTTCATAACATTGCATTACATTGCATACATACATATATATAGTTATGTATGTGTATATATATATTTATATACTTATGTATGTGTATATATATAGTATTTATATATATATATCTTGATATATTGATATGTATATATATGTATTGATATATACATATATATATATATGTATATATATGTATATGTATATGTGTATGTGAATGTATATATACGTGTAAATATATATGCACATTTTTGTACCATTGAAAAAACTACTCAGAAGGTCATTACCATCCCCCACACATATGAATCCCAGTTTGGACAATGACATGGCAATGCAATGCCAGCCATGGATAGTTGCAAAAGCAGCATTGAGGAACGCACTCTACACAATTCACACCGCGTTGATGCCCAGTCAAGGTAAAGTGACAATTGCTTGAGCCACCTGCCAAGTTGCCGAATCACACAGTCTGACTACGTCTGGCTATGTCTGACTCTACTTTCAACATGTCTTGCTGCCCGCCTGCACCACCAGAAACTCCCCAAACCTTGATGGAGCGATCTAAGGAGCAAGAGCAGAAAATGTTTGTGTCCTGCCGCGCTGCGATGCAAATTCACGCCCGAACATACAATAACCTACATGCCTTCCTGAGAATCCAGAGATTGAGAATTTTCACCATTGCTGTGAAGAGAAAGTCCTTCGGATTCCACTGGCACATCATCACATAGTGCGCATGGCTCTCAAAAACCTGGCGAAGCATTGTATAAGGCATCAGCACCCTTGTCAATTCTCACAATGGACGATCTATGTGTCTTGTGATGTGCAAACACTATGGAAAAACATTCTGCATGCAAATGTGAGCTTTCCAGCTGCGAGCTGGGGAATCCATTTGATAACGACATTTTGAAAAACACATCTGAACACCACGAAAATCACAAGGTGCTGATGCCCGAAAAAAAATGCCCACAAGCTGGGCTGTCCTGAAGGTTCTGCCAATTCTTGTCCCAGTCCCAAAGCCTCAGGATGCAAATCCTATGCTGAATCTGAACTCTGAAATCAATGGATATGACAGGTCATATTATTATTAACTTTCTACGAACCAACATTGGGTCTGTGCCCTCACTGAGGCTCCTTCTTGATTGACATGTCATCCGATGAAGACAGAAGGTACGGTAAGGTCGGGTGGATGGCAATGTAGCGGATATAGTCTGTGTGTGCCTGGGAAAATCAAAATCTTTCCCCCTTACTTGAGGGCTCGCCTCGCTGAGTCTAAGGTGCCTCAAACTCGTGAGCCTTTTCCAAGCTGTTGTAGTTGAAGACGCGGATCTGAGTGTAAAAGTTGATGCTTTTGTGCAATCCCACTTTCTGAAGAGTGCTGCTTTTGAAATGCAGAATCTGTATGGAGAGACCCATCTGCTCCAGTAAGCCATGGGCGTGCATGTCATCGGATGCCGTCGCAATCCACTGCTTGCGAGTGACAAACTTTGCACACCGCACTGGCAAATTGCAGACCTGCAAATGTCAAACACGAGCATGAAGCTTGAATCGTTCTTTCTAAAAAAGCCAACACTTCTTGTCCGGCCTCGAATTGCTTCACAAGTGTCTGCGTGTTGTAATCCCAAATGAAGATATTTCCTGCCCGGACAGGTGGAATCTACATCTCTTGGTGCGGCAAGTGGGCCAAAAAGAATAAAAAGTGACCATCAAAATCTAGCATCAAAGTGGACCAGGGACATGAAACAAAGAACAAACTTGTAGAATCTTGTAGATCAACCTAAGGTTTAAAAAATTGTAGCAAACACAGCACTGCCTGAGTAGAGAGCTGACAAAGTCCATGGCTCCGAGGGATGAAAGTCCACGCACTTCACGCGGTCACTCCTGCCACAAGAACAAGAAAGGGAACCCAGTGCCGCTCCTCTGTGCAGAAGCCCCTGTATGCCCCTGTACCAAAAATTAACGACTCTGAAGAACTTGAACAACATCCTTGCTGACAGCTTCTTCTTGATGTCGAGTCGAAGCGGCATCCTTTCAGTCACAAGAATAAGTTGAGTCAAAAGAGATCAAAATATAGATCTATTTAGTCTCATCAAGACTTGCAAGCACGGTGTTACATATGCGTCTGTCCAATGGCACACAATGGCAGAGACTGCGGTTCCAGCTTTCTGGCGCTTTTGAGCCTTCATACAAACCCCCAGTCCCACCAAGACTTCCCTAGCGCTTCTGCCCTTGACAAATAAAACATGGATACAGAAAGGCAACAACTTTCCAAATCTACAAAAAAATGGAAATCAGACCTGCGGTGAGCATCAATCTTTCCTTATGTTTACAGTTTCAGGATCTGCATCCTTCAACATCCCGATCTAAGCCGTCCACTCGCCAGCCGCAGGGAGCTCGGCCACAAGGAGGCAGAGCCGCAGCTCTTTCAAAGCTTGGACCCAAACGGCCAGGAAAGCTGTGCAAATGGAAAAATCCGTGGAAACAATAAAAAGGAAAACAAGGAAAACAACAAAAAAACAAATTGCATCACTGGTTTATCTTGCAGGGTACTCCTGCTCAGCAGTTTAGTTTGACTCGTAGAAAGGCTGTACAAAGAACAAGTGCCAAAATCCAGCTTCCAAAATCTTGCAAACACAAACACTTACAGCTCAAAGGCCTTGGCAAGAGGCGGAGCCTTCCTGTCATGCGCAGCTGAAATCTGAGAGATTCTATGTGAAGGCTCAGTGCGTTCAAACACGGCAGATGTGCATGACCGAAGCCTTAAACTGCGCCTGGAGAAAAGAGCAGAAGGGTCAGGACAAGCAATCTACTTGGTTGAATGCATCATGTGTCAAGCCAAAGGCCGCTTCCTTTTCTGACGGATGCCCACTCTCCACCACCAGCTGCTGCAGCTCCCTCTCACATCTCTCACATACAGCGGTCTGGCTCACCCCTTTCGCCTCGGACATCCAGACATACCCCAAAGTATCCATTCAATGAACAATTTATTGTACAATCCGTGTACGGAACGGAATGAATGCGCAATGCTATTGCAATGTTATCTGCCTCCAAGTCGAGATGTACATGGCGGAGTTGTGACAGCTCAAGCACACGCTCCAAACCATCACTGTACTCCTCCAACACTTGAGCATGTGGTTTCCAAAATGACCCAAATGCAAAGCGCTTTAGAAGATAGTAGCAGTCCTCGAAAATGCTGAGCTTGTTGTGCATGCCTTCATCAGGACTAGGCAGCAAGTCTTTGAGATCTTGACGTCAAATGTCAAGAATAATCGTGTTTCTGTCCAAAACATCCCATTGTGTCCTTCCAGCCTTGACTTGCGACACTTTGGAGATCTCTGGAGGCTGTCATCGTCTGCCACCCTGGATATTGAGAAATGTCGACATTGATAAACGTCGCAGCCAACATAAACGGTGTCAAACATGTCGAACCAACCAGAACAGGAGGCACATAGCCCGGACCCAGGGCTCCAAATGCCTCATGCGGGGGTTACTGCAGCAATCGTGAAAATGGGCAAGTCGTAGCAATTCCATACATCAAGTTCATGTCTGGTTCCCCCTGTAAGCAAATGGCCAAATTTGCACTGGCAGTTGCAGGTTGTTTGGCTGGCAGTTGCTGCGAAGATGGTGGATTTTTCTGGGCCCCTTCTCCATCACCTGTCATGCAGAGACATGCAAATTTACGGAACAGGCATAGCAGAGTTGTTGCAAGTCGTGCGCCAAATAGACCGAATGAACAATGAATAAACAAAAATAGCAAAGTCAATCGGCATCCCAAGCACTCCCTTTTTCTCTCGCTAAGTGGTTTTTGGCTCTGCTTCGGGGGCTGCCTCCTCATGCCTCAGAATACTGCGTACACACTGCAGTGGATTCTGGCCCAAGCTGCATATAATCACCAACCATCACCATATTTTGAGATGATCACAAACACTTTGCTCAAAATGGATTCACAGAGTTAGGCGACAGGAGTTCCACAGCTCACTGCGTCAATGGGTTTGTACTTCGATTGTTTCTGCTTCAGCCAGTCCTATGATCTTGCTTACACTATACTCCCTTGAGAGAGACCACCACCGCAACAACAACAACGACAACGACAACGACAACGACAACCACAACCACAACCACAACCACAACCACAACCACCACGACCACGAAGACGACGACGACGACGAGGACGAGGACGAGGACGAGGACGAGGACGAGGACGAGGACGAGGACGAGGACGACGGCGAGTTCGTTTGAACATGTTTGTCGGCTAAGCCATGTCGCTTTTCATACCTGGCAATGCTCTGGTTGACGGTCCACCATATACCTCCACAAATGACCAAAAGGAGTCCCACCTTGGATGTTCGCTGTGCACCAGTGTAGTCAAATCACTGACAATCATTTTTCATATATTTTGAACATATTTCATATATGATATATGAACATGTGTGAACATGTATGATTATGTATGAACATTGAAAGGCTAAACCAGAAATTGAATGTGTCTGAAACTGTATGACTATAGCGACCGACTTACACTTGGAACCTCAATGTTCCAAAATTTTGGAACAAACACTTAGAACCTCCCAAATTTCAGGTTCTAAGTTTGCTCAAACATGTAGGTCGGTCACTATATGTGAACAAAAACATAAAATACATATATATATATATACTTACATAAAAATACATATCTGTATATATATATAGAGTATAAATATGAATATAAGTATGAATATGAAAATGAAAAGAAATATATATATATATACACACATACATATAAATTATATATAGGTATATCATGTGCGTGTGTGTGTGCATTTGTGCATGCAAACATTGGGATGTTGCACTGAAAGATATGTGGCCGTAGTCCTTGCGGAAGCTAACACTCAGAACCTCTGCTTGCTTGGCCCTGTTTTCTGGGAGCATCAAGTATCAGAGGTTCTCAGTGTTCCTTCCATGCCTAGAATTCTGGATTTTTGATTTTTTGAAAAAACAAAAAATCAATTCCAAAACTAAAGTTTCTTTGGAGGCTTCAATCAATCCAAAATGAATCCCTGCCAGTGTTCAAAGCAAGATCTGAACCAATTTCATGTTTTTCATCAAAATTCTGAAGCCAAAAAATTGCAAAATAAGCTTCGGCGGTATTTCCAACAGCAGCAGTAAATTATTTTCACATTTTTTTCGTCCGCAATTTGCTGGAACTTGACCGAAAAGCTGCGCCGATACGCTCCCGGAATCGCACCGGAACCTTCTTGAAGCCTCGTTAAACCTGGCCACACCAGGCCGGAACCTTCTCTGGAACGCTGTTGAACCTGACCTGGCTCGCTTGTCTCTTCTCGGGTCTGTTGATGGATGTTTTGTCCAGGACGCCCTTCGTGAAGGCAGTCACCAGTGGCTTGTTTGGAGATTTCAGAGGAAGGCCTAGGACATGGACGGCGAAATGCGCGGCCTCTATGAAGCCTGTCAAGGCACTCAAAGTGACTCCGTCCTGGTGTTTTTCCCAAACATACTCTGAGACTTCCTCAGCACATATCGGGATCGGGCGTCGCCTGTAGTAGAAACCTCTGTGCCAGAGACAATACTTGGCTAAGCTGTTGGCTCGCTTCGCCACTGTATTTGGGCTTCGAGACCCACACAGCAACCTGATCTGTCTGAGGCAGGGATCAATGTTCTTGTCCTTGAAGTCTACCCCTGGTGGGGTTCCAGCGGGGCACGACACCATAATGGCATAAAGCTTCCCCAAGGCCCTGTTCCATCTGGCCTCATCGATCTCAGGATCAGTGAGAGTGTTTCCAAACGAAATAACCCGCTCATAGCGTCTGAGAGTTGAGGTCGTGAGCCTCGGCCTCTTTGGCGGCGATCCTGCCACGTCATCATGACCAACGCCTCCTGTCGGAGCAGCTGGGTCCAAATGGTGTGTCACCCGAACTTCAACAGGCATAGGCACAATGGGATCATCACTGAAGACAGCTGACATTATGCCACTTTCCCATGGTAAAGCCAAGTTGTCTGCCAGGGAGGCACTCAACATTGCCTGGGTGATCATGGAGTCCAATATTTGGGAACCTCTTGGACTGAGCTGCGAAGAGTCGCGCTCTCTGGCCGGTGCTCCTCGGGAAAGCATCGACTCTAGCGGACCCACTGGAGCCTCACTTCCTGAAGCGATTCCTTCTTCGCTTCCAAAACTGGGGTCAAGTTCTGCAGGCCCGAACAGCTCTTCCTGTTCGATGACCAATGGATCCTCGAGATCGGCTTCCCCAGCAGAGGCTGCGGCTTCATCGCCATCTTCTATCGATGCCTGGCTGCACTGGTCAAAAGCAGGTGGCACAGGCAGGGAGGTCCCTGCTTCACAATCAGCTACCTCTCCGTTTGCCATTGAGCCGTGCACCCTACACTGGCGCTACAATTTCAAAGCACAAAAGTGTGGGCTATGCAGTCGCGGTCACATCTCTGGTGTTGCAACTGACAAGAAATCAGACAAGTTGTTTTGCAAACGCACTCTGATCGGCTATTGGAGAAAAGAGGTGTTCCGAATCCCACGTCATGGTTCCGGATCATTGTAGCACTTGGCATTCAGGCATGAATATTTCAATTGCATAAAAGGACAGTGCTTAGGCTTATCTGGGCATTCCACAGGAACCGGTAAGTGGGATCGCTCTGAGGAGCTGCCACTGAGCCCATGAGGCCGTCCAGCAGGTCGGTCAGGGCTCTGCAATTGGCCACAAAATTTGGCCCTGCTTGTTGATTCAGCACTCCGGGATCTACACAAAATTCCAATGCCATGGCAGGTCGCTCAATCCTATCAAAGAGATAATATGATGCAACACTCCTATCGGAAATAATCCAAAGCTTGGCAAACTCCAATTGCACAAGGAAGTCAACTAAAGGCTCTACCACTGATGGTGTTCCTACGTGCAAAATTATTTCTTTTATGCTGTGCTCTGACCTGCTCAACCTCGACAAAACCTGTGTATCATTCGTATCGATCAAGGCAGCAAGCATATCAGAGATGGTTGTCCATCTCCCGGACCAGGAGGTGAGTGGCCGCTTTTGGGAGACCTGTTCACGTGTCCCGACGACGTGCCACGCTGGCCACTAGAAGTGGTCTCAGGATTCCTGGCGACGAACCGCTGATAAGCCATGATCGCATGTACTCTATCGCACAGGCCTGGTGAAATTTAAAGAATCCAGTTGAACTCTCAAGTCGTCAGTGCCCAGTTGGTCAGAGCAACTTGCAAATGAAATCTCAAGAACTAAAAATTGCACGCTCATAGTAAAAGGAAAAATTAGGTTCCGGACATGGCAAGAGGGACGCCACTCATCGCCAGGCTGGTTTGAAACCTCTGTCCAGCTAATGCACTAGAATGACCCACACTTGTCAGGTCTTATCAGGTCCACTTGAACCAGGGTGCCACACGGCACTTGAGGGACTGACGTTCGTCGATATTCGGTGGGTCCGTGGCCCTTCTGGTCCGAGTCTCGGCCTTGCCTTGGACGGAACTGGTCCAGCCCTCAAGAGAAAACAAAAGCCATGATCTCACTCTCCGCATTTGAGTTCACGCTGTGATTCCCGCTCTAAATCTGGCGGTGTGGTCCCTGCACACCAAAAGAAGAGGTCCTCTGACGCAAGGTCTTCAGACGGGGGGGGCACAGCAGTACGTCTGCGAATACATGGCTTCACTTTCTCAATAGGATGACGTCTTCAAGTATATAAGACCATGAGAGCTTGATATCTACTGTGTACGGAAATCATTGCAAAGCTAACTTATAAGACTCGAACACAAAAACAGGTCGAAGAAATCTCGATCTTGCCGTGGTTCAGGAAGAGGTCCCTTCTGTCGACCTGACAAGGAGCTGCTTACCAACACAACGATGCAAGGTGACTCAGTTGCACACTCGTGCAGGTTAGGTCCCCTAACAAGTTTGTGTCTTGGGTGTCACATGACACTGCAGCTCCTCATGTAAGGCCACTGCTGCCACCACACGGGACAACCTGTGGCTGGAGTCCGTACCATCCGTCACGTGACAGGAATGGAAAAGAACTCTTGTCACTTGACAAGTTGCACGACTTCCCACTGGTTCAACTGTGAATCACATAAGTTCCCGACGTTCACGTGAACTGTGCGGGCTGGCGTTTTCGAGCCAGCTGGAAAAGAGGTTCCCTGTTTTCACGGCGTGACAAAACGTTTGCCAGTGATGAAGCCATCCCACGTATCTGACAGAGAAGAAACAAACTTCAGTCCCATGGTTAAACACAGTGTCCAGAAGAAGCTTCCGTTTTTGTGCGCACAAAAGGATAGTCGATCACAACTGGCTGAAATGTTGCCGTGCACGAAGAACCGCACCAAACCCTGCTAACAAGAATTCACATCCTATGAAAAAGGGGCGGCAAGAGAAGCAATTGCATGAAAGTCCGAAGCAAACCCCCCCTGGTGAAGGGGGGATTCTCACTCGAGCATGGACTTCACACGAAGCGGAAACATGAATGTGATCGATTTGATGTGCATCAGATGTGACATGTTTTGACGTACTCACAACATGAGGTACCCACCATTATTTTGCATAAATAAAACTGCATCAAACACGTTTGAGTTTCGCCATATATACATGTGTGTGTGTGTTCGTGTGTGTGTGTGTGTCGTGTGTTAATTTTGACGATTTTTAAAATTCATATTCAAGAAGCAGAGGTTCTAAGTTAAAGCTGGATATGTGTTAAAATTGGGGTAGGTTCTAAGTGTTCATGAAAAATATCATGATTTGGTTCTAAGTCCAAGTGTTGACTTGTTTCGGTTCTAAGTGTGCACTTAGAACCTCGTCGATATCAAATTGCCGCTATTTATATATTTTTCCAAAAAAAGGTTCTAACTGTAAGTCGCTCGCTATACATTAGGTCAAGCTCAAGAATCTTGGGCTCATGAAAAGACTTTGTCTGATATGTGCAGCAAGCGTCGAAGGCTAAGGGTCTCTGGAAGTCGCTGTCGTTGAAGAAAAAGATGCCTCGATCTTGCAGTTCTTAACTTGGCTTGAACCGGCGAGAAAATTTACTTATCATATCAAGTCATTTTTCTTGTCGTATCTGTGTTTGTGTCAGGAAAAGACTGCTTTGCCAAAGCCAGGCGTCCTTGAATCACACTGAAACCACTGGAAATGTTCCCAATGACCATGGTCGCAGTTGCAGTGTCGGCCTTTACCAGGTGCAGTGTTGTCCAATGCCCAAGGCTGAATGTCGCAAATGACAGCAGCAGCATGATAAAGATCGAAGGATCGTTAAGCCAGAGGTGGACCGTCTCGTGCATATCTTCAACCTCCACGAAGCTCAGACCACCAGAGATTATCAGACTGACAATTGCGTCAACCATCGTTAGCAGTGCCACCGGCGACTCTGAAAGGCGGTCCAGCAGGAATCGTTGTGTGAGTCTGTAGCCCACCATGGTGAAAACGAATAGAGAGGACACTTCCATACCCACAGTGTTGAAGTCAGGATATTGCAATGCAAAGACTGCGGCTCCAAAGACCTTTAGACCAAGAGCGGCCTTTGACGCCAAGCTGGTGAAAGCGGCTTCAGAACTACGATGCTTCAAACATGGTTTCATGGCCACTTCCAGGGATAAACCAACAACGGGCGCTAGGTTGCCAAAGACCGTCCTCTCAGACAATGAACAATAGTTTGCTTCCAAGTGATCGGCCAACTGATAGACACCTGAGGTGCGTAATGGGACACCACGAATGATGACTCTAACTCTAGCTCGGAACTACCTGTACAATGATGAATAGTCGAACTTGTCAAACAAGATCGTAGTCCTAACAGCAACGCGCAGTAAGTGTTCGAGGAGTTGCCAAAAGCAGCCGCTGCAGGAAGCCAGGTCAGAAGTTCCCTGCCAAGCACCTCCAACAATGGCCTCCGCACAGTATTGATAGATGTTGATAGCAGTCTGTACATCCAAAACAGTGAGTCATATGACAACATCCCCACAAGAGAAGAGATAGAAGAGGCATTCAATCCAGGATCACGGGATTCAAATATCTTGTGGTCTGCAGTGAATCATGGCCTGGTATGGTTCACAAAGTGCAGTCCTGTGATGAAGATGCCGAAAATTAACCTCATATCCACTTAATCCACTTCAGTAGTCCGCAGTTCTAGCATGGATACACGTGAGGGAATCGACTTTAGGATGCTATTTGGCACGTCAAAGCAACGCGCAAATGCTTCCCATCTGAGTGAGATAGAACTTCGGACAAAGTACTCCATCTGAGAGAACTCGTGTTTGCGTACAACGAGACCACACTCCGACAAATTGTTGGCAGGTGAACTCAAGTGAATCAAGGGATCAAGTGACAAACCTTGCTTCAGACGAGGGGCATCGAAAGGCTCTGCATAGCGGTCAGAATCATGGGTGACTTCATCAGAACCGACAGTGATTGATTCACCAGGACAGTGCCAAGGGTTAACGAGGCAACAGTAGTCCTCGATCGTCAGCTTCACCAACGAAAGAGTCTGTCCACTTAATTCAAATCCCTAATTCAGTACCACAAAAAGAGGCAATTGCATTGCTACTTCGCGGCAAGGCTCTGCAAAAGCAGCAAGAACAGCCGTTGGTCGCCTTCATCATGGCGTCCTGCATACAGATGAGAACACAGCATTTTGCCGTTTGTCTTCAGAATCAACGCCAGTGTCCCAGAGAGCATCTTGTCGCTTAAAAAAACATAAGGAAACTTTAAAATACACCGATCACAAGTTCAACTATCATCCCGGATCCACGCTAAGCTGGAGGGAGACTCTACAAAGCATATATCTAAGTCTATATGTAAATATATATATATATCTATCTATCAAAGCTGACAAATTGTGGATGGGCCTTATGTTGAGCGGTCTGACACCATTACCGCGTCTTTTCAACAATGCCAGTACTAAGCCTCTACTTGGCAGGATTTTTGCAATTCCTGTCTCAATTTTTCTTCCTGTAGAATAATGTGTCCTGTTTTTTCCAGATACATCCGGAAAAGAATAATACGATGCTCGCCAGACCTTCATACAAGAACTTCCCATGAGCATCCCGAGGAATTTTCATACAAGCACCCAACGCAGAGGATCTTCAAGATCTTAACGCAAGGGCCTCTTGAGGAGGATTTCAACAGGATCTCCACAAGATCTTCTCACAAGGAACTGGACTAGATCATGTAAGGACACCGAGAGGATTTCACCAGGACCTCTTCAAGAGCCTCTCAAAAGGACCTGGACAAGACCACGCAAAGGCCTGTAACAGCATGTCTAGGATCTCCAGTAAAAAAAACCCTTGGGCAAGTGCTTCATGCCAGGACCTAACAGAATCTCACAAGATCGTCATAAAAGGACCTGCTGCTGCTGCTGGAGCGGACCTTAAAAGATCTTGATACAAGAACCTCCCACGAGCCTCCCACAAGAGCTTTCATACAAGCACCTCTAAGACATGACATCTGCAAGCTCCTCATGCAAGGGCCTCTTAGAGAGGACCCCACCAATATTACCACAAGATCTTCTGTTAAGGACATGTACAGGGTCATGCAAGGACCTCTTCGAGAGGATCTCACCAGGATCTCCACAAGAGCCCGTTCATGCGAGAATTTACAATGAAAATGCCGCAAGCCCAAAGCTCGAAAAACCCCGCCACGCAGATTTTGCAGTCAAAACGCACATGCGCTTGTCACAAGAACCAATTTATGCGAGAATATACAGGAAGACGCCGCATCCCAGAAGTTAGGCCTACGTTTTGTGCGAGCCTGCGCATTCGAAATGGACATAGACATGTCAGAAGAACTTTTTTTGGGTAGTAAATCCTTAAGAAAAATGCTGCGCCCCAGGACCGGGACAACCGTTTTTCGCAAGCCTGCGCAATCGAAATGCACATGGACATGTCACAAGAGCCAGTTTAAGCGAGAATTTACAGGAAAAATGCCGCGCCCCAAGACCGGGACAACCGTTTTGTGCGAGCCTGGGCCTGTGCAGTCGACATGCACATGAGCATGTCACAAGAACCATTTTATGCGAGAATTTGCAGGGAAAATGCCGCGGCCCAAGAGCTAGCAAAACTCGCGGCGCAGACTTCGCGCGAGCCTGCGCAATCGAAATGCACATGGACTTGAGAGGAGTTTGAAATACAAGTTTTGAATCATAGCAAAATATGGGCATGCATCAATATCGAAAAAAGGAGGGAAGTCTCGGCAACGCATGCGCTGGTCTTCTCCGAAGAGTGTTTAAAAGAACACATCTTTGGTCGGGGCCTGCTACACACCTTAAGGTCATCCAATGCTGCCTCAATTGCCTCCTTGTGGCAGAAAAAACAGACATAAAACCAATTTGTGGGGTGTTTTTGCATCTTCGCAAAACATGGCTGTCCTAGTGCTTTTTTAAACGGAAATGATTAGGAAAATGAGGGTGGTGACGATGATGGTGATGACGATGGTGGTGGTGGCGGCGGGTCGCGATGGCGATGGTGATGACGATTATGATGATGATGATGATGATGATGATGCTGATGATGATGATGATGATGATGGTGACGGTCATCATGACGATGATGGTGACGGTCATCATGATGATGATGGTGACGGTCATCATGATGATGATGATGATGATGATGATGACGATGGCGATGATGATGCTGATGACGATGACGAAGAAGATAACGATGACGATGAGGAGGATGATGACGATGATGATGGTGATGATGATGATGATGACAACGACGAGGACAAGGACGATGACGATGATGATGAGGATGAGGATGATGGTTCTGATGATGATGATGATGATGATGATGATGATGAGGATGATGGTTCTGATGATGATGATGATGATGATGATGGTGGTGGTGATGACGATGATGATGATGATGAGGAGTAGGAGGAGGAGGAGGAGGAGGATGATGATGAGGGCGATGACGATGATGATGGCGATGGTGACCATGACGATGACAAGGACGATGATGACGAGGATGATGATGATGATGATCATCATCATCATGATGATGACGATGACCAGGACGACGATGATGATGACGATGATGATGGTGATTCTGATGCTGATATGGTGATCATGATCATATTCATGATCATGACCCTGATGAAAAGCAAGATGAAGATGAAGATGAAGATGAAAATGGGTAGGGCGGTGAAAGTGAGGATGAAAGTGACGATGAAAATGGAATTTTGAGGAGGAGGAGGATGACAAGGAGAATGAGGATGAGGATACGGATGCAGATGCGGATGAGGAGGAGGAGGAGGAGGAGGATCATGATCATGATCATGATCATGATGGTGATGATTGATGATTGATGCTGATGATGATGATGATGAGGATCATGATGATGAAGATGATGAAGATGATGAAGATGATGAAGATGATGATGATGATCATCATCATCATGATGATGACGATGACCAGGACGACGATGATGATGACGATGATGATGGTGATTCTGATGCTGATATGGTGATCATGATCATATTCATGATCATGACCCTGATGAAAAGCAAGATGAAGATGAAGATGAAGATGAAAATGGGTAGGGCGGTGAAAGTGAGGATGAAAGTGACGATGAAAATGGAATTTTGAGGAGGAGGAGGATGACAAGGAGAATGAGGATGAGGATACGGATGCAGATGCGGATGAGGAGGAGGAGGAGGATGAGGATCATGATCATGATCATGATGATGATGGTGATGATTGATGATTGATGCTGATGATAATGATGATGATGATGATGAGGATCATGATGATGAAGATGATGAAGATGATGAAGATGATGAAGATGATGAAGATGATGAAGATGATGAAGATGATGATGAAGATGGTCATGAGGGGAATGAAATGTGCATGAAAATGTGCATGAAAATGATGAAAATGAGCATGTAAATGAGCATGAAAATGAAGAGGAAAAGGATGAAAATGGTGACTAGGATGATAAGAGGGATGATGATACGGATAATGACAAGGATGAGGAGGACGAGGAAGAAATCATGTATTATTTCTAGGGGGGACCCGTGCTAACAAATATTTCTGTGGCAAGGTTCGCTAGAGATCTTGTCTGAGAGAGATCAACCGATTCTCTGTGCCAACGTGCTCACCCAGAAACCTTTGGTGCACATAATTTCCCTTCTCTTTTTTCCCAAGACGTACGAAAAAGAAGACGAAATCATGAAGGAGTCTTATGCTGAGTTCATGCGCTCAAGTCACCAAACCTGTGGAAGGAAGCCATCCAAAAAAATCACATGTCTCCGCTTGGCACATCGGAATTGCCTGCACCACACCCATGTATTAAACTTAAATATCCGCCGACCCCTGCCAATAGCAGGGGGGCGTCTCAGAGAAGAGGGGGCAAGCGAAGGAGCAAGAAGCTAGAAAGCAAGAGGCAAGATGACAAGAGATGGAGCAAGACGCTAGAAAGCAGGAAAAGAAACAAAAGGCAAAAGGCAAGATGCAAGAGCAAGCAATACAAGTAGCAGGAAGCAAGAAGCAAAGGAGCAAGGCGCTAGAGAGCAAGAGGCAAGATGACACGACATGAAGCGAAGGCCGACAGCCTGGTTTTGGACACTTGAAGGCTGCAATTTGGAGCTAATGTCTTGTCGGTTCAGAAAGCAACGTCATGCACAGGCCGCCGCAGGCCGAAGGCCTCGCGTCCGTCCTTCAGTTGCATGGTGTTTCGGCGTGACGGAGGCAAGGCTTTGGACGCTTGAAGTCTGCAATTTGGATCAAATTTCTTGTCGGTTCAGAAAGCAACGTTAGGCACAGGCAGCCGCAGGCCCAAGGCCTCGTCCGTCCTTCAGTTGCATGCTGTTTCGGTGTGGTGAAGCCAATGTTTTGGACGCTTGAAGGCTGCAATTTGGAGCTAATTTCTTGTCGGTTCAGAAAGCAACGTTAGGCACAGGCAGCCGCAGGCCGAATGCACCGTCCGTCCTTCAAACACATAGTGCTTCGGTATGGCGGAGCCAATGGTTTGGACGCTTGAAGGCTGCAATTTGGAGCTAATTTCTTGTCGGTTCAGAAAGCTACGTTAGGCACAAGAAGCAAGAGGCAAGATGCAAGAGCAATCAATGGCAGCAAGCGAGAAGCGAAGGAGCAAGGAGCTAGAAAGCAAGAGGCAAGATGGCAAGAGATGGAGCAAAATGTTAGAAAGCAGGAAAAGGAACAAGAAGCAAGAGGCACGATGGAAGCAATAGCAGGAAGCGAGAAGCGAAGGAGCAAGGAGCTAGAAAGCAAGAGGCAAGATGACAAGAGATGGAGCAAAACGCTAGAATGCAGGAAAAAGAACAAGAAGCAAGAGGCAAGATGCTGTCTCTCGCTCTCTCTATAAATATATATATATATAGATTTATAGATGTGTATATATATATATATAGATTTATAGATGTATAGATATAGATATAGATATAGATCTCTCTCTCTCTCTCACACTCCTTACCCCCCGCTTGCCGCCTCCTCTCACACTCCTTACCCCCCGCTTGCCGCCTCCAACATGCAGGGGTCCGCGGCAAGGTGCGGAACCTTTAATCCGGGCGCCGCCCACCTCCGGAGGCCTTCGGTAGTAACCGAAGGTTATAGGGGCTGCCAACCCTGCCGCCGACCCACCTCCAGACTGTC